GCTTTGTCATAAGTCATCTTAGGGAGGGCGGATCTGGGCCTTGATGATCAGGAGAACTGGGGATCTGAACCATCAGCCAGGAAGGGTGGGGCTGAGCAAGGCCACACCTGTGGGCAGCTGTATGACAGGTTTCCTTGTGGGGAGAGAACCCACCCGCGGGGACAGCCATCCAGGTAGAGTGAGCAGGAAGTCAGTGAGAGAGCACCGTGCCGCCCAGACACTGAGATGTAATCCAGCCACCCCACAAGGACAAAAGTGCCCAAGACAGGGTCCTCTGTAGGTGAATTAGAAATTGACACCTGTTTGCCCAGGAGACTCTTTAGGTTAGATATTAAAAGCACGTGCTCAGTTGGGACAGACCTGACGGGTCACTTATTAACCAGGCCTTTGGGCTGAGCCACCACCCTCCTTGAACCTCAGTTCCTCACCTATGGCAGAGGGCAGTCACAGCACCTACCGACCTCAGATTGCTTTGTGACAGTGAAATAGCATGACGATGTGCGGAGAGCGTTGAGCACAGGGCCTGGCACGCAGTGCGTCTCCATGAATGTAAACTATCATGATCTGGGTCCAGATCTTCGCACTGAGAAAGCTTATATGAGCAGAGAGTAAATCCATCAAAGAAGTGGGCTTGTCATGGGACTTCCCGTCCTAGTCAAAAATATTCTGCCACTTGGGTGAAAAAGGAAGGTAAGGAATCCAAAGTACAAAACTGGACCTCAAATGCTTCCCCTCGTTCCAGTCACCTTTAAGTCTTCTTCAACCCCAGCATTTGAAGATTTTAGTTATTTATTTTTAGAAAGAGGGGGAGGGAAGGAGAAAGAGAGGGAGAGAAACATCGATGTGCGAGAGATACATCAATCGGCTGCCTCTCACAGGCCCCCAGCTGGGGACCTGGCCCACAACCCAGGCAAGTGCCCCACCTGGGAACCGAACCAGGGGACCTTGGGGCCAGTGTTCCGTCCACTGAGCCCCACCAGCCAGGGCCAACGCCAGCATTTGGGCAGCTGGTGAAAACCTTGGTGCATCTTCACCGCAACGTGCCTCTGACTCTCGTCTCTTGTTTTTGCCGTGGCCGTAGTGCCATGGGCCCAGCTGTGCAATGACAGGCCACCCTCCTGTTGCCTTAGTGCCTTATGTTGCGTCGAATAGGCGGCATGCTTTAATATTTCATGAACTGATAAACGTTAGGCTATCAAAATACAGTATAGGATTTCAAGAAGTGGCCAGCTTGTCACCCCTTAGTTTGAAATTTGAAAAATGCAGTTGGATATTCCTAGCGGGGCCTTTCCCTAGTTACAGGCATCAGGCACTTTGAACCAAGGTATAGTTTTTAAACAAAACCCAGCATTTGGGTTGAAAGGATTGGCCTGTGAGAGCAGCTAATTATCCAGTATATGAACTTTCTGAGTTCCAATTTCTTCATTCCCAAAAGGTGATGATAATAGTAAGGATAAAATTCTCATAAGATTTCTGCAAAGATCAAATAAAATGGGGAATGTGTTCTTTGTAAACTGCAAAGTACTTTGCAAAATGTCAGCTCCTTGTCAGTTTGGTTTTTGTTGGTTTTTTGGGTTTTTTTTTTAGTTTTGGTTTTGGAGGGTTTGTTTTGTTTTGTTTTGTTTTTATTCCTGCTGGTGGAAAGGACATAGACTAGATGTCAAAAGTCCAGGTTCTGGCCCCTGCTCTGCTGCTTCCAGGATGTTTTCCGTGACCTCAAACAAGTCACTTAATCCCTTAAAGCCACAGGTGCGTCATCTAAGAAACACTCAGGGATTTTGAATCCTTTCAAAGGAAACAAGTTAAAGGAAAATAGCAAGAGACGAAGAAAGCAATCCTTTCCAAAGAATGGGGGAGGTAAGGTCTAGTGTCCACCTGGGCGATCCGGAGAAATGCGTCTGAGATGCGAAGGAAGGAAGAAAACTGGAAGCCACGGGCTTGCTTCAGCAGCACATGTGCTAAAATCGTGAATGATACAGAGATGGCGATACAGAGACGATTCTCACGGCCCCTGCGCCAGGGTGATGCGCAAATTCATGAAAACTGGGAGCCGTGAGGCGTGGCCACTGATTTCTGGGGCGTGGCAAGAGCACCCAGGTCTGGGAGCGGGTAGCAATCTGAGGCAGGTGCACAGCCAGCACTAACCTAGGTGCATGACCCACTAAAAAAAAAAAAAAAATAGCACCTCTACCTGAAACCAGGGCTTCACACACGCAGTCACTGTCCCATGAATAGCGACACTGTCAGCTGGGACCCCCACGCCTGCAAAGGCAATCGACCCGTCCCGCAGAGAGAGACCCGTGTAACGCCCCGACACACGCACGGTGTCCACGCATCGACTCTTGGTACGAAGGGGAGCAGAGCAGGAGGGCGCTGGGGTGGCTTCTCCGCAGTCAGACAGGCCCAGGCAGCCCTTCTGGGGGCGCTCAGGGATCTGAGAGGAGACCCTCAGGAGCCAGGGGGTAACTGGCTTAAGAACGTCTGCCACTGGAATCCTGTCGCCTGGACCCACTTTGTCCACAAGCCTTTCTGCCTCCAGACCCAAGGCCAAGCATTTTGGAAGATTCCTAGAGAAGCTCGAATCAGCCCAAGAAAAACAAGAATCATAGGCACCTCCGGGTTCCCAGAGAAGGGCTGAGGTCATGAAAAGAGGGACGGATTGAAGGGGAAGATCTCACGCCCCCCGGGAACGCGGTGAATTTGTTCCCCAGGATGGATGGTATGATAAGGTTGAACTGGGAGATCAGTGGGTGCACAAGAGAGGCCTGAAGGTCACCTGTTTGCTGATCGCCTGGTCCGTACCAGGCAGCGTGTGGAATCAGCGGCAGGAGAAAGCCCCTGTAGGTAGATTCCCATCCCCACCCATCCGGGGCTCCTCCGCTCCTTTCCCACGGCCAGAGCTGAAGCCTCTCACTGCCAAGTTCCTCTGCAAACTGTTTATTCTCGACATGTGAAAGAGCCTAGCTTGATTTATAGAAAGGCCGAGTTGACCCGAAGGGCTGGCTCAGAGCTTTAATGGAAATACCACACCTTTCAAACTTTAGCTCTCGAGCTGTTGGCAGTGCGCTTAACCTCCCCAGCCTCGCCATCTCAGCTTTACTGTGGAGACAGTCCTGCCGCCCTCCTCCTAGAGCAGCCGTGAGGGATAAATGAGATAATGAAACTGAAGCGCTGAGGATAGTGGCGGGCACATATTCGCTGAGGAAGGCCTCAGCAACGAGCGGCCGTTGCCCACATTCCCCTGGCAGACAAGTAGCAGGAACTTGTAGTCCTGCATAGTGGCTAAGGAGACGGGGAAGTGATCAATTTATGTAACGGGAAGGTCCAAGGCAGATTTGGCTTCAGGTACAGCTTGATCCAGGAACTCACGTGATTTCACCAGCACCTGGTGTTTCTCTCTCCAGCTCTCAGCCCCTCTTCCTGCAGAGCAGGCTCTGTTTTTCAGACAGGTTGTCCGTCCCACAGACACAAAGTGGCTTCAGCCGCTGCAGACCATGCATCACAACAGAGTCAGCGCAGTCGAAGAGGCCACCTGTCCACTTCTCCCCAGGCATAAGCGATAGTCTCATTTCGCCTCATTGGCTCTGGCTGGGTCACACAGCAGCTTCCCTGAGCCAACCATGGGAGCCAGGAGAGAATGGGCCGGAGAGAGCCGTGGGCACACACCTGGCATTGGGGGCAGAGCCAGCACCACTGAAACCTCACAGCTGGAGAATGTGGGGAGGCTGGTTTCTCGGAGCGACCTTGGTGTTCCCAAGTGGAAAGCAAACGACTAGCTAACAACAGGTGAATCACAGCACCAAGCACCCACCCAGCTGAAGGAGCCAGAGGGCTTGTTAGACTTCCTTTGGTTGCTGACTCACTGGGGACAGCTGTGTCTCCCCTGACCTGACCACAGAGTGACATGTCACCGGTACACAGAGGCCTCAAAGAGCGCCACCCATCCTTTCTGAACGCAGATCAGCTCAAAAACCCCTGGGATGCTCAGTAGTCAGCCAGGATGCAAAGAATGCAGTGAACTTTAGTTAGCATTGAATTAGACTTGCCAAATAGTAAAAATGAATCCAACAATGAGCATTCATCTCGTCGAAGTCTATTTCCTATTGTTGTCACAGAAAGCGGGCACCCCTTGAGAACGGCATAAGCGGCCTCACTCTCTGCAGGCCAGCCTGGGGTGTGGCCGGCGCCAGCTCGCTTCCAGTTACCCACGCAAAAGGGCCACGGTGCTGAGCACAGCCAGGACACCAAATGGACATAGGGCCTTACTCACGCGCGCCCACCACACCTCGCACAGGTACCCAGATGTCACCGAGGAGGCTCCGGAGGCGCGAGGCTGCCTGGACAGCTGCCATCCTGACTGTCCCTGGCCTTATCCGCCGCCCCCCTGCATGGTGCGCACCCCCAAGAAGTGATCCGGGCCCACTCGCGTGCCCGCGCCCCTCCTCAGGCCAGAGCCCAGCCTCTGTGCTGTCTCTGGCTCCGGGCTCTTGCCTTTGCGTCTCTGGGCGCTTCTGCCCTTGGAGGGCCTGCTGGTCCCTGTTCTCCGGGCTCTGCATCCTTCTCCCGGGAGACGTCCAACGTCCCACTGCTTCCCATCTCTCACCACGTTTCCTTCCTCTCTCTCAGACACACCTTTAGACCCCTTGTTCCCAGAAGTCCCTGCTGTGAGCGGATTCCTCACTCCAGGATGCTCCTGCCCAGCATCTCTGGGGCCCTGGGCCTGGGCTGGGCCGCAAGGACGCCGTCCAGCCAGCACACAGCTCTGGGCCTTTCAGAGAACGAGTTCTCCCCTCGCCACCAGCCACAATCACCACCAAAACGCTTCCCCTGGGCACTCCCCGCACAGCCTCAGCCCAGCCCTCCTGCCCGCGGGTCACAGAGGGTCCTCCGAAACGTGGCTCGGCCAGCACGACGGAGGCTTCCAGCTCGCAGGGGTGGGGCGGGTGTCTAGCATCCCGGCGCTGAGACCCCTCTGAGAGCTCCCTGTGCCGTGTCCCCAGGTGACTGCTGGCTGTTGGCGGCCATCGCCTCCCTCACCTTGAATGAAGAAATCCTGGCGCGTGTCGTCCCCTTAAACCAGAGCTTCCAGGAAAACTATGCAGGGATCTTCCACTTCCAGGTAACTTAGGGGTGGGCCCGAACTTCTCCTCCACAGGTCCTGGGGAGCCAAGGAGCAGCTCCTGGGAGCTGGGAACAGGTCCGGGGACGGGGGACAGATCCGTTGGCATGGCCGAGCTCATCTGTCCCCAGCGTTTGCAGACTCCTGCAACCTGCCATTCTACAGAGGACACAGAGAAACAGCAGAAAGCTCCCTGGCCCGGCCCCGACTCAGGACCCTAGGAGGGCAGCGGTGGGGGGCCTCTTGGACCGGCAAGGGAGGCAGATAGAACAGTCTGAGTTAGGAAGTCCTTCCCAGGTGTTAAAAGAAGTGTATTATTTGAGGTCTGAGACAGGATGTTAAGTGACTGCTCATTGTCCTCCTTTGCTGGTGGTGAGTGAGAAATATTTTTAAAAGCTGAAGGTGCAGGGCAGAGTGCATGCCTACAGGAGATTCAGAAGAAGCGCCTGCTCCCAGGGGGGCTCAGCGGACCCTGGGTGCCCCGTTCCACCGCAGAGGGTTTTGTGGGGGGAAAAATGGCCGAGGGACACCGGCCGCAGCTGAGGCTCAGAGACGCCACACTGCCACCGCCGGCTGCGCCAGCCCGCCCCACGCACGCCCTTCCCTGCCTTTGTCCCCCAGTTCTGGCAGTACGGTGAGTGGGTGGACGTGGTCGTGGACGACAGGCTGCCCACCAAGGACGGGGAGCTGCTGTTTGTGCACTCGGCAGAGGGGAGCGAGTTCTGGAGCGCGCTGCTGGAGAAGGCCTACGCCAAGTAAGTGGCCGCGCCCTTCCCTGTGACCGCCTGGCCCCAGCCGCCCTGCGTTCTGAGAAAAGCCAGGACCTACTCAAAGACTGCTTGAGTAGAGGACCTATTCCCTAGAAGAACTATGTTGGCCTAAACTGGGCTCTAAAGTCAAGGAGACAATGCACGCAAGGGGCCTGGGCTCACAACCCCCTGACAAATGACCTGCGCTGCCAATGTAACCAAATGCACAGGAGCAAATTGTGGGGCTGAGCGTGCCAGCCTTGAGCAGGACCTTCTACTTCCTTGGCAGGTCTTGTTATATTTTTGTCAGCTAAATACAGCAAAGAGCTGTTGCCCATGGGCAAAACCATGCACTGCAGAGGTATGAAAATTATGGAAATGGGCCCAGAAGGGGCGGTGTCTCTGATTAGAAATGGCTTTCCATATTCTCTTCCCAGCTGCGCCCCACCCTCAAGGCCCAGAGTCCAGCTGCCCGGTGCTCAGCGCTGCCACCATCCCCTCCAGAGCGGCCTCAGCCCGGCCACGCTGCTGGGCTCAGTCCCTTGAGGTGGCCAGCTTTAAGGCATCGGGGGATTTCTGTACTCACAGCCCCTGCCCGGGAGGACGGCTGGGCGCACATGCCCAGCCATGAGAATCTGGCCCTGGGAGCCACTTCCAAGTCATGTGCTCAAGTCGTAGAGCCAGAGAAGCCCCAGGGTGCCCCAAGGACCATGGGGAGCGATAAGGCCCCCAAACACTGCCTGCTGCTCCAGGAAAGTGCCCCCATTATCAAATCGTTGTCTCTTTAAAGCTACAAATGCCAAATAGCTCAGCAGCAGACCTCCCCTCTCCTGTCAAGAGGCAGGAAGAATCAATACGGGAGGCGGGCCCAGATGATCACTGAGGGCCGTCCAGCACTCAGGTTCTATGAGGTTTTCGAGAAACTTTCCAAGTGCCAGGGAAGTGGTAACTGGGGAGACAGTGACTGGCCCTCGTGGGCACCCTGAGTCGGAGACAAAGGCAAGGAGAACCTGCGCGGGGGGTCCCTGGAGCGTCCAACAAAGGAGGCGCCAGGAAAGCGGCGCCATGATAGGCCGCGGCATTGGCACCAGCTGACAGCAGCCCCTCTGCCCTCCGGCAGGATCAACGGGTGCTATGAGGCGCTTTCGGGGGGCGCCACCACCGAGGGCTTCGAGGACTTCACGGGCGGCATCGCTGAGTGGTATGAGCTGAAGAAGGCACCTTCCAACCTATTCAAGATCATCCAGAAGGCCCTGCAGAAAGGCTCCCTCCTGGGCTGCTCCATCGACGTAAGTGCCAGCCTCCCCCCCCCCGCCACCCTGCGCCTGGCCTGCTGCTCCGGCTGGAGGGAGCCCCCAGCAGAGTGCGGGAAACGCACTGCCCCGTCCACAGCATTAGCCCATCCCTGTCCGCCTCAAGGAGCATCTCCCGGACCCGGGGTTGCTAGGCAACAGCCAGGCTGTCTGGGGTACAAGTGAAGGGGCAATGGTACCTACCTCCAGCCCTTCCCTCTCCAGCCCACTTCCCGCCCTCAGCCTCCTGTGAATCTCCACTCAGGCCACGGGTTCCTGTGGAGCCCCCTGCCCTCTGCGGGTCCCTAGGGGACCCCTCCTCTGCAGGGCCTGTGCCTACTCCCAAACCCTGTCCTATGCAGGACCTGGTCCCTGTGGGACAGAGAACAGAACCCCTGGCTCTCGGGGCCCAAATATCCGTCCAAGTCCAGGCAGGGATTCTCAAACTCCTGCTGAAGGCCATGTGGAGGCAAAAGACCCTTCCTACCCACAGCCCATTTCCGATTTACCAAATACCCCGTGCTGGGCCAGTTGGTGCTGTCTGGTGACTGTCCTGAGCCCAGGCGCTCACCAGCCCTCTCTCCTTGCTGTGCCCTAACCGCCTGCCTCAGCCTGCGGGAATCGGTGAACGCGCCTGGCACGCGTGTTCATGCAGGTGCTCCCTCTCCCCGAAGGTTATTGCGCTTAGCCTTTGCTCTGGTTGTAAACCGGGGGCTCAGCACCTGAAAATGGTAGCAGGACAGGGTCCAGGTGCGGCGAGAGCACCCCTCTGTGTCCTGCCAGGGCCGCGCGCTCCGTGACCACGCCTTCCCGGGCCACGCCCCCAGGGACCAGGCCCTCCCTGGCCACGCCCCTGCAGTTTTGGGGCCCCCATCCAGGCCTGTCGGACCCCAGGGAGCCAGGGAGGGGTGGGGGCAGGCAGGATGCGCCAGCCAGGGCTGATTCTTCCCTTGTTCCCAGATCACCAGTATGGCAGACTCAGAGGCCATCACGTTCCAGAAGCTGGTGAAGGGGCACGCGTACTCTGTCACTGGAGCCGAGGAGGTAACGCCCGCAGGGGTTTTTCAGGGATCTTTCTTTGCCTGTGACTGCCGGGTGGGGCCCCCGTGTTCCCACAGCTGTTTCTAAACAGGCCTCACATTCCTGAAGTTCAGACAGGACTCGCTGGGCTGTCCTTTCTGGTCCCTTCCGGAGCTTCGGGTCTCCAGCCCCGCCCTGCCCTCTGGTGGCCGCAGGGTCCAGCGCCAGGCGCTCAGATTTTACTGAGTTTTGGAACTCAGTAAACCTTACGCTTCTGGGCCAGCCAGAAAGAAAAGAAAGGATATTTTACTTCTGCATAGCGTTTTATACTCTCTAAAGTGCTTTCACATCCAGCCTCCCAAAAGCATTAGTGCCCAAATTAGTGTTCAGATCTGACCCTGTCTCTTACCAGTTACGTGGTCCGAGCAAGTTACTTAAACTCTGTCCCTTAGTTCCCTCACCTTTAAATTAGAAATATTAATATGCATCGTAAGGTGGTTGTGATTCTGTCAAGTTGATATATGTAAAGTGCTCAGACTGTGCCTGAAACATTGTGTCTAAGTCTATATTATTATTATAAATATATTGAGCAGTCCAAGTTCACTATTGATTACTAAACCCAGACCAGACCCAAGTCTTCTAATATGCCCAGTGGTTTTCTTTTTGCCTTGATTTTTGTTGCCCTACCCCCACCCACACACATATCTTTTTATTTTGAAAAATTTCAACTTTCTGGAAAAGTTGATAGTATAGTAAACATACAATGCTATTTCCCTAGAATCAACAGTTGTTAACATTCTGCCACATGTGTTTGGTCTCTCTGTGTGCGGTTACTTTATTCTGAGCCATTGGAATGTAACTTGCAGATGTTACAACACTTCAGTTGCATTACCTAAAAATCCCAGTCTTCTTCTCCGGCCCAATAAAATAAACACTAATTTAATAACATCATCCAATATATAGTCCGTATTTATATTTGCGCCCAAACATCCTTTATAGAGTGCCCCCCAATCCAGGATTCAATCAGGGATCAGGCACCGCGGTTGCTCATCACCTTCTGACAGGCCGTCAGCTGCCCTGAGCTCCTGGGACAGGAGCACATCCTGTTATGGCTCACCTGTGGTTTGGAGGTGAAGCGCCCGTGCAGAGTCTAGAGCACGTGCCTTGTGCCTCAGGCTCACGACAGATGTGGAAGAGCCTGGGTCCTCCAAGGGCCGGGTCCTAGGGGCCGTTGAGGCTGGGCAGCGGTGGGGCTCGGCCTTTGTGTGCCTCCCCCCAGACCCGTATAACCCGGACTCAACCCCCTAGCTCAGGGGGAAGGAGGCTTCGTGCCCAAGAACCCCCAGACCTGGCTTGAGCTCAACACCTCCCTCCCGCCCTGCAGGTGGAAAGCAGAGGAAGCCTGCAGAAACTGATCCGCATCCGAAATCCCTGGGGAGAGGTGGAGTGGACCGGGAAGTGGAGCGACAAGTGAGGAGGGCGTGCTGGGCCTGGGGTGGCGGGGGCACCCTGCCGGGAGGCTCCGGGGAAGTGGGGGGGGCACGTGCACGATGCTGAGGAACAGGCCCCGAGAGCACAGGCCACACCGAGGGGGACCCACGGGGCAGGCGGGCCCCCGAGACTTCAGGAACCAGCTCATCCCAGGCCTCTGGGAGCCTTTCCTAAGGCCCAGGGCTGCTGCGACGCTCACTCTTCTCATCCCCTCCTGCTCCATCCTTCCCTCACTCAGATCTGCCTGCTGTTGGCCCTTCGGGGGGGGGAAAAACACACACACCTTTCCTTCCCCCAAGCCCTTGTTCACTTCCAAGGATGTAAACTGTGTGCCTAGGACCAGAGAGAAGTCCCTCTGGTGATTCCAGGGCTGCCTGGTGCACCTATTCCACCTGCAGGGGGCGAAGTCTCCCATGAGCCCATCGTGTCGTGACCTCCCCCTCCCCCGCCCCCGCCCCTGCCCCCGCACTGACAGTTCTGACACCTCTTCCTGGCCGCTCCCAAGGCAGAGGGAGGCCAAGACGAGCCGCTCCTGGGCCGTGGCCCGGGGCCCCTTGAAACTGCTGCCAGCCTGTCCCAGCTTGGGCCGCGGCGCCCCCTCGTCTCTGTCCGACGGGCTGTGTCCCTTTCCCGTGCTCTCCCTCGCTACACTCTGCCAGGACGACACGTCCTCTCGCCGGCTCCCTGCACCCCTCAGTCACGGGTGCACACCTGCGTCACTTCCCTCCCCGACTGGGGCCTGGGCCCTCAGACGCGAGCCGCGTGTCCCGGGCCCCAGTCTCGGGGGCTCCGGGGACATTAGTTTCTGACGGCTCTCCCGTGACATGGTTTTCCAGCTGCCCGAACTGGAACACCATCGACCCGGAGGAGAGGGCCAGGCTGACCCAACGGCAGGAAGACGGGGAATTCTGGTGAGATGATCGCAGCGGAGGCTCCCAGAGACGAGGTGTCTGCGCCACCACCTTTGCTAGGAGAGGAGTGAGACTGTCATGTTGGGGGCTCAGGGGCACAGGATCCGGCTTTTCTTGTTGCTTTAAATCACTGTAAGGCCCAGAGCAAAAACATTCTCCAAGCTCTTCCGTTTGTCACTCCCCACCCTGGGGTTTAGGAGCTGAGCAGCCGCACAGAGAAGGCTGTGAGGAGCCCGCGGTCACGCTCAGATCCCAAGAGAAAACAGGGAACAGGGGCATTTCCCAGGAGGTTCATCCCAACTCCTTAAGAACCTGGTCCCTTAGGGAGCACAGGGGCCCGCATGTGCGTGTGTCTCTGCCGCGCTGTGACCACCTCCGCCGACTACTCGCCATTGACCAGACTGCGCCCGTGGGCTGCTGTCTCGTTTCGTTCTTGGGGCTCCCGCTTTCACAGACGAGGGCTCTGAGCTTCAGAGAGGTTTCAGCCTCGGGCTCAGTCACCCGGCAGACTGTGGTGGCCCCGGGACTGGAACCTGTGCCTTCTTGTTGCGGGCCTGGCGGCTGTGCGGGCCTGAGGCGCTGTCCCCGGCCTCTCTGCCTGGCTTTGGCCGGGGCTGCCCGGTGTGCCCTCCTGTAATCGGGTGCCCCTGCCTCTCCTCTGCCAGGATGTCTTTCAGCGACTTCCTGAGACACTATTCCCGCCTGGAGATCTGCAACCTGACCCCCGACACCCTCACCAGCGATTCCTACAAGAAGTGGAAGCTCACCAAGATGGACGGGAACTGGCGGCGGGGCTCCACGGCGGGAGGCTGCAGGAACTACCCGAGTAAGGCCGCCCAAGGCCACCGCGCCCTGCCGTGCCGCACCCCAGCCGGGCAGCGCGGAGGGGCAGCTCCTGCCAACCGGGACCCTCTGCTCTCCTTCCCCGAGTCTCCCTGTCCACAGCCTTCCCTGCTTATCAGCCCGCTCACCTGCTGCGCTCAGCGGCCCCCTCCCCAGGCTGAACCCAAGCCTTGCTGGTTCTGTGACTTCCCCGCAGGCCCCAGACTCCCTGTACGGTGGCCTCCCCAGCAGCCCACGGAGGAAGCACTCAGCCCCACTTCTGCTCAGCCCTGCTGATTGCCCGGCAACCCTAGTGCCCAATTCACTTGGCACATGTGGATGGGCCCTGCTCCAGTCTCTCCTCTGGCCCGTCCTCCAGGGATCCTCCCGACTCTCTTGCCTTGATGTCCCTTAGAGACATCTAATCAGGATGGCACCTGCCAGTTAGGGGGCGCAGTTGGGGGCTAGGAATACACATGATTCCACGGAATCGTCACAACCAAATTTGGAGGAAGGTCCTTTATGATCATCTCCACCTGTAAGATGAGGGTTTGCAGAGGGTAAGGGATGCCCCGGCTGGCGGATTGTAGAGTGCATATTTTAGGTTCCGTGGTGGCAGGTCACGGTCAGATATTGATTGTCTGTTACCAATGAGGAAACGGAGGCTCTGAATGGCCACAGAGCAAGTAGTCGGCCTGGACCTGCTGACTGGTATCACCTGTGTGATAAAAACATGCTCTGGTGTTTTTAATCCTTCCCCTAAAGTATGCAGCCACCAAGTGGCAGGGCCAGAGGCACTGGGGAGGCCTGACAAAAATGTCTCCCCTGCCCACTGGATCAGGGATCACAGACTCTCTCTTAAGGGCCAGAGAGAAAATACTTTTGGCTTGGAGGGCCATTCAGTCTCCATGGCAACTACTCGCCTGCACTGCTGTAGCCCGAAGGCGGCCATACTTAAAGGAATGGACATGGCTGTGTTCCAATAAAACTTTATTTACAAAAACGGGCCACCGGCAGCCCGCAGAGCCAGCATGTGCCAAACCCAGCACTAGGTGGCACCTTCGGTTCCACAGTTAGAGTTTTGTCCCACTAGGCAAGGGAAGGTGATCGGCACAATTCTCCTTAAACGGGAACGAGTCTCAGGTCCTTCCTGTAATTGGTCTGGGAAGCGGAAGGATGGAGACACCTGGGGGTGGCCAAGGGGACCAGGCCAGGAGGACAAGGGACACAGAAGGAGGGGACGTTCCTGGCGTCTGGGTTCACTGAGGGGGAGTGGGAGCTAGTCCCAGAGTCTCCTCAGCCAGGCCCATCTCTGACCTCCTGGGAGGGGACGGTACCAGGACAGGGGGCCGCAGCTCTGCCCACCCTGCTCCAGGGCGACAGAAAAGGTCTCCAAGACAAGCCAGCCTGGGGCGAGCGGCAGGGCGCTGCAGGGGAAGTTCCTCATTTAGGCCCCGTGACATTCAGACAAGTGCAAGCCGTCCCAGCGCCCTCCCCTGCTCCCACCCTGACGAGCTGCTGGCCAGTCCCCCCCTCCACCCTGGTTCATCCGCCCCAGGGTCTGCCACCACTTCCCTCCCCGCAGCCCCCACGTCTCTGTCCCGAGACAAGGACAGAGCTCCTCCCCCGAGGCCCCCCGCTCCGGGAAACTGACCCCAGCCCCGCTTTGGCCACAGACACCTTCTGGATGAACCCTCAGTACCTGATCAAGCTGGAGGAGGAGGACGAGGACCAGGAGAACGGCGAGAGCGGCTGCACCTTCCTGGTGGGTCTCATCCAGAAGCACCGGCGGCGGCAGAGGAAGATGGGCGAGGACATGCACACCATCGGCTTCGGCATCTACGAGGTGGGCAGAGCGGGCTGCGGCTCCTTCGCTCCTCGCGGCCCCTGTGAGGGAGGCTGCCCCTCCCTCCCCCCCACCCCGACCCCTGCAACAGGCAGAGCCAGAGATGGGACCCCAGGCAGGGAGCATGGCCCAGGAAGAGCAAAACTGCAGGGAAGCCCCTGCACTCGCCTTGTGTCACCGGGAGGTTCCAAGCCCTTGGCTGGACTCCCAGAGCCAGCTTGCTGGGAGTTCCACATGTCCCCATGTCCCTTCTCATGTGCCCCCCAGGCCTGGCACCCTGGTTGGCCCACTAATCCCTAAAAAACAGGCCACTGAAGCTGAGAACAGAGTATCCTGGGCCCGCACCAGGAAATACTGGGGAGGCGGGGCAGGAACGGAGCCAGCGGTCCCGTGGGTCACAGCCCAGCCAGGCCGTTGGCCTGGAGCTCAGGACAGAGAACAACCGGGCCGCTGGCTGGAGCCTGTTCCCGCACAGACGCGCTCACTGCCTGAGTGTCCCCCTTTCTTTCTGCACCACATTAAAGAAGCGCCAGCCACCATGTGACGGCCTCCTCTCCCTCTCGGGTGGGGGTGGAGACGACCCGACAGGCTGTCCCCTGGACACCCCTCCCCCCGAGGCCTTCCTGCCGCACAGAACAGAGCCTCTCACAACCCTGCGTCTGTGGAGGGAGAGGGACCAGGGAGGAGGCAGGGCAGCCGAAGAGGGTGTACTAGGGTGTGACAGATGGAGCCAGGGGGCTGTGTGTGGAGTGGCTCCCGAAGGTCACGTGGTCCCATCTTTTCCCAGCCCCTTGGCAACCTGAAAACAGCCAGGGCGGGGAGCAGGGCTGTTTACACCATGGGAATCAGCAACTACTACAAATCAGGGCGAAGGCTCTCCCCGAAGGGCCCGATCCCAGCTCAGCACTGGGGGTGGGGAGAGCCTCTGGGAAGACCCTGGGTGGTCACTGGTCCCATTTCAGAGATACAGAAGCAGAGGCCAGAAAGGGGGGGAATGACTCGCCCAAGGACATGCGGACTGGACGCGGCCGACAGAAGCCTCGCGCCGAGGCCGCTGGCTCCTGGCCGGGGCCGGGGAGGGGCGCCCACCTGGCGGGGTGGCTCCATCCTACAGCAGAGCCCTGCATTCCCTACAGGGAGGCGGGCGTGGGCTTGGCGTTGGCTGCTGGGCAGCCGGAGACAAGCCGCGGCGAAGCTGCGTGCCTCGCCGGGATGCTCTCGAACCCGGGAACGGTGCTGAGGGCTTGTCCACATTATTGCTGGGTCATAAGGTTTTCCCTTAAATGCGGGAATGCGTTCCTTGGAAAAAATCCCTATGTTGGTTTCGTCACTATTGCTCAAGATCCCGAGAAAGGGGTTAGCAAAGGAAATGACCACAGCGGCGGCGTGTCTGTACACAGCTTCCCAGAACCGGAATCGAGCGCAGGCTTCTTTATCTTTGCAGGTTCCGGAGGAGGTACGTCTGGCGTATGTCACCCGCTGTCCCTGGGGCTCAGGTTCAACAAGTAAAATGCTTAGACTGTCGGCCCGGAGGTCTTGTGACGTGTGGGCAGGGGCTGGTGGCTGGGAAGGGTATGTCCCTGGACCCTCTAGGTCAGCGGTCCCCAACCTTTTCAGCACCAGTTTTGTGGAAGATGGTGGTGGGGAGGCGGGGCTCAGGTGAGCTTGGCTCCCCACGCCATGGGTGTCCTAACAAGCCAGGGGCTCTTGCTCAAGGGGATGTTGCTCAGGTCCCAGATGCCACTGGGAAGCGAGCTTAGGGCACAGGGTCTTGGGCTGCCCCAATGGGGGCCACCGCCGTCCCAGGCCTGGTGGAGGCTGTGCGTGGGTTACTTCTGGGTGGACGGTCTCTGGTCCCAGGACACAGGGGGCTCTTCGAGTCCTGCAGTGCTCCTGACACCTGCCCGAAGGGACGGGGTGAGCCCTGCAGATTATAAGAGGACGTGGGGACACAGAAGGAGACCTAGCTCTGCCACTTGAACCAAATTCCTGCCATGTAGACACTACCCCTCCCTGAGAGTCACTTAGAGGAAGGGACCTCTCTGCAGAGCTGGCCGAAGGGGAGGTCCCCTGTCGCAGGTGCCTCTGCGCTCCTCAGCGAGCACGTGTCTGCCACCCACTTGTTTCTGTCTGTTCATCAGTTTGCCGGACAGACCAACATCCACCTCAGCAAAAACTTCTTCCTGACGCACCGAGCCCGGGAGCGCTCCGACACCTTCATCAACCTGCGGGAGGTGCTCAACCGCTTCAAGCTGCCGCCGGGGGAGTACATTGTGGTGCCGTCCACCTTCGAGCCCAACAAGGACGGCGACTTCTGCATCCGGGTCTTCTCCGAGAAGAAGGCTGACTACCAGTAGGTCCTCACGCCTCTCCTTTCCTGCCGCCCGCCCCTTCTTGTTCCTGTCGCCGGCCTGTCCCGTGCGGAGCTCTGTGTTCCCCAAACGTCTGCCTCTTTTCCTGAGACCCCTCTGCCTGCCTCAAAGGGTTAGTGTGGGGGCTGCTGTGAGGAAGGACTGGTAGAATCGCACTCAGGTGAGCAAGAGAAACGGCCGCTCAGGACGTGTTTGGCTAGAAAGGCGCGGTTGTGGAGCAAATGGCAGAGTCTAATTTCACTGCATGATCACGTTGTTATTTGCCGTTTGGTGGCCTGTACTAGACTGGCCAGGAGCCCTGCCGCATCTTTTGGAGAAAGCCGGGAAGCCTCAACCCCCTCCGCTCTCCTGCTCTCCAGTGTGAGCTCCCTCTCCCAACGGGACCCCCCGGCCACAGTCACCTCTCAACGCGTCTGCCTTCCTCGTCCCAGGATATCCACCTGATTCCAGCTGTCACCACCCAGGGGCCCCCTACCCTTTCTTCTTCTTTAGTTAGGACTCGTGGGGCCCAGTTTCAGGTCCCAGGGGGCCTGAGGGAAACCCTCCTGAGCTTAAGCACCATCACTGCGGAGCAAAGGACCAGCTCTGCGCCCAGAAGGGGCCTGGGGTAAACGAACCGCGGCCCGAGCCCCGAGTATTGAGAGGTCACAGCCGGGCCTCCTCACCCTCTGCCTGCGCCCACCCTGAGAACAAGGAGGCCGCGGTGCGCACCTCCGGTTTCAGTGTCCGAGGTCTACGAGGGCAACGAGTGTTCTGAACCTGAAAAGCGTTTCCTCCAGGCCAGGCAGGGCGCGGGGTTGTCTGGGGTGCCAGCCCCACAGTGCGGGGCCACCGTGCACTCTGATGACCAAAAGCCAGCCAACAAACAACAAACCTCCGACTGTCCACGCTGTCTGGCCGGGACTCTTCCTTGGGTCACTTCTGCCCTGGCTTCGGCTGTGTAGGGGACGCAGAAGGAACTAGGGCCGCGGGCAAATCGCTCTGCCCACCCCGTGCTGGGCCTCACATCGCACTTGCCGCTGAGCTGAGACTTCTGTGACTGTCCCTCCCACTCGCGTCCCTCCCAGTAACACACAGCTTCCTTCTGTTTCCAGAGTGGTCGATGACGAGATCGAGGGCAACCTGGAAGAGGTACTTGGGGCTCCTTGACTTCACCCGCTTGTCCTGGGCCACCCTGGGAGCAGAGGCGAACCAGCGATCCCAGTGGCGCAGGAGGTCCCCGGGGCGCCTTGAACATGGCAGGAAACTAAGGACAGAGTCGTGCCCTGGGCCTGCTCCAGTGCCTCCCGCACCGGCTACCGCCAGCAGTGGACCTGGGCAGCGCCCCGCCCGTCGGGCCGAGTGACCCGTGTGTGCGTGGGGTGTTGTGTAGGACAGGCCACTGGTGCTGTGCTGACCAGTGAGAGCTTCTTGTCACTTCACTTTCTGGGCCTCAGTTTTCTCTATAAAATGAAGGCGCTGGGTGACCAGATGTCCGAGGTCCCCGGGAGTTGTGATTTAGTGATAAATCCGGAAGGGTTGTGATGAACACAGCTCAGGAATTTCAGACGAGGCTGAGTCGTCCCAACTCCGAAGTCGAGGGAGGAGAAAACCACAGAGAGACGAAGGGGCTCTTCCTGCCATCCCAGACCGGAAGGCGTGTGCGTGATCCTCGCCGGCTCCTCAGTCGCTGAAGCTCTGTGCTTGTCCTTGTCCTCACAAGGACAAGCTGAGAGACTGCACAGTTTCAAAGGGCCTCTTGGGCTGTGCTCACCAGCCACCATCAAAACCCTTCTGGAACATTCTATTTAGTCTTAACGCTTCCAAATCCCCATTAAAGTAAATCATCAAAGGCCCTTTTGATTGAATGTGAGAGGACCCACCTCTGTGGGAAGTTTAGAGTATAACTCCTCCCAGAGTTGACATTCCCTCTCACGGGTTTTAACTAGAAAACAATTACTGCGTCTTTACCCTGTCCCCTCACCTCAATCCCAGCAACCTTACAGTTCAGGCCCAAGAGGGAGAGGTAGGGAAGGGCACTGGGATGGGGGAGGGGAGCCGCCCTGGAAGAGACGCCTGACGGTCCCCTCGTCTGGTCCATCGTCTCACCTCTTGTGTCATCTTCCAGATTGACGTCGACGAGGACAACATTGATGACGGATTCAGGAGGCTGTTTGCCCAGCTGGCAGGGGAGGTAGGCATTCCCAAATCCCTGTTGTGCACTCTGGTTGACACAAAGGAAAAGACAGTTTTCATCCCCGAAGAGACTTCTGTGGAAAGGCGAGGGGAAAGCAGGCTGGACCAGAGCCCAGAGCAACTGCAAATGGGACTCCGATCCCGCGCGGACCCCTTGCCTGCTCCCTCCCGGGACCACTACCCGCCGCGGCCCTTCCGAGCTCATGGTCAGCTCCGGCCTGTCCCTCCCGCCTTGGGATCTGGGCCTCACCCTGGGGCTCTTTCCTTTTTTTCTCCTCCACTCCCACTGACACATGACACTCGTCCCCTTCTCCTCAATTTTCAGAAAAATATTTGGGGAGATGGAAAGGTTTCAAATTTAAGAATGCAAGCAACTTACAACAGCATTATCAGACTTCCCCGTTCTTAAAAAAAAAAAAATCCCTCAGCCATATAGGCCTCAGTTGGCTACAAAGTTATCCAGCATTTTTCTTCCCGCAAGTCCAAGAAAAAGCCAACCTTAGTCTCAAACAATGGGGTCTGTCCCCAGTCACTCAGTGTGTGACGCTGAACAGAGATGCCCGGGCTCCCTAGGAGCCCCGTGCCTGCGGTATGGGGCGCGCTCTTCGAGGCAGAGGCTCTGCCCGGCTCTGCGGGAAGCCAGATCCGCGTTTCCAAGGGTGAGGACGCAGGCGGATGGGAGGGAAGGTGTGAGAGAACCACGCCGAGACCACAAACATGGGTAGCAGGGAGAATTTATCCTTTATAGCCTCTACTGCAAAGCGCTGGTGAATGAACTCTACCTGGAGCTTGCTGTGTGTCAGGACACTGTGTCTAGGTCCCAGGGCCTGGGGACAGCAGCAGCCTCTCGTGGGGGCTTGTTAGAAATGCACGTGCATGGACCCCAGCCCAGATCTACGTAGCGGGGGCCCCAGGGCTAAGTCCACGGCTTAGCCCGGGACGCTTCTGTGACTCTGTGAGTCACACAGATCCACGGGGGCCAATAACGATGCCCTGGTTGCATGCCCACAGGATGCGGAGATCTCTGCGTTTGAGCTGCAGACAATCCTGAGACGCGTCCTCGCCAAGCGTAAGTGTCCCCTCCTTGTAAATCCCTCATCCCACCCCTTCCCTGCAGCCGGGAGGGCCGTGGGAACCCCTCCCCTTTCATATCGGCTGCGGTGGCTGACCCATCACGCCCTGCTCCCAGGTGAATACCACCCACCACCGCCACCACCGCCACCAAAGAATTGGATGCAGGAGGTTCTCTGTGATGTGATTGTCAGAAGAACAAAGGTTCCCAGGGCCTAGAGATCAAAGCACATCCAGGTTTCCACTGCTTACTAGACTCTAGTCTTACTGGACTCCACTCTTTCTAGAACCTTCCTGACTCTTGTTTCCTTATCTGCAGGTTAGTCAGGTTACTGTTGTAGCTACCTCTTAAGAATGGTTGAACTCTTAAGTGAGGCAACAGGTAGAAACGGCACAGCACAAAGCCTGCACCCCAGAGATGGTGGCTCTTATGATGAGCCACTGGTAAGAAAAGGCTGAGTCGGCCCAGATGGTGGGGGCCGGGAAGCAGCCCCAAGTCCCCACGTCCCCTGGCTGCGTGTAGTAGGAAATCACTGACCGAGTGACAGCCTCTATCAATAATCAGTCCGAATAAAAAAAGAAATGGACCCGTTTATACTCAAACCAAGGGAATGACTTTTAAAAGCTTCACCTCCCCACTGTGTTTATGAGCCTAACCTGACGCATTCTTCACTGGGAGAAATGTCACATCTGTAGAGCCAACAGGCCAGGCCAGTGACATCAAGGCTCCAGAGATGGTGGCTCTGGGCCCAGGCAGCGGGGCTTCCACAGAGAATGAACAAAGCTCGAGAGACTTGAGGAGGGGCCAGAGAGCACAACCTTTCAGCTGGGTATCACTTCCGAAGCAGAAAACATCAAAGGACTGGTTGTTCACCCCTCGTGGTTGATGACCACAGGGGAGAAGGACCCCCCCAACCCCCCGCACACACACAGATGTATTTTTGCCCCTCGAATGACCGCAGGAGCCGCTCCGCCTTTGATAAGACAGCAGTCCGCTGAGCAGGTGTCCGTCCGATGGCGGAAATTATAAGCCTGGCCCCAAAACAGGTGTGCATGCTGTCATGCCCTGAGCATCGGCCCTGTGGATCATTCTAGAAGTCTCCTAGACTTCATGGGTAGCCCCTGGACTAACAGGTCTCAAAGCCAAAGGCCAGCGGGGTCTCCCAGCCCTGTGAGCGCAGACCACACTGCCACGCACACCTCGCAGGAGCCACAAGGTCCAGTGCCTCCCCTGCAGCCACCAGACCAGGGGCTGCCCTAGGGCCCCCGTGAGTCAAGGAGCTCCCAGCAGGGGCGGGGGCAGGGCCAGCCGCCACCGCAGGGCTTCCCCAGAGCAGGCCCTGGTCCTGGCCCACCCTCCTCCATTGGGGAGTGGGACAAGGGGGTGGCACGTGCCCCCGAGGCCGCCAGGCACAAGTGAGGTCATGGGCTCTCGGAGGTCTGGCCGCAGGAGCCCGAGTTAACTGAAGCCTCGTTGTTTGCCCAAAGATGGGGGTGGAGGGCGGCAGGGAGAGTCAGGCTACGCCTGGGCTCAGCTGCTCCTCGCCTTGGAGCTTGGCACCCTCTGTCCCCGGCCACCTGCGGACCCCTGCCCCTGTCCACAGTCCCCACGCAGACTCCCCCGGGAAGGGGTCCGCGCCCAGGCAGGCAGCTTGGAGGCAGCTTAGGTTATAACCTCCACCAGGACGTGACAGGGAGGGTGGCTTCCCATGAGGTCTGTGGGAACCAGAGTCACACTGTGGCAAGGGTCTCACACCGCCACCTGCCAAACACCAAGGAGCTGGGACTCCCCTGGTAGAGAACTGTCTCTCCAGGTGGCTCACGGCTCCTCCACTGCTCACTCCACTGCGGGCGCCTGCAGGCAGATGGCTGAATGAGCCTCCTCCCCTCCCAGCTCCCCCCACTTCGCCCTGCCTGGCGACCACAGGTGGCTTTGCACCTGGGGGCACCTACTCAGTCATTTATCACTTTTCACCTATTTTCAAAGAACTTCTGAGAGCCTGGTTTGCCCAAGGCGAATATACAGAGAAGTCAGGCCAACGTGACCCCCCTGCCTGTCCCAATATCGCAGCCAGTAGCCAGATGTGGCTGCTTAATGTATAATTTAAGTGGCCATGGTATCAAAAGGTGCAGATGCAGGACCCTGCCATCTTCGTAGAAAGTTCCTTTGGATGGTGCGGCTCTAGGAAGTCTTCCTCTCACGCTTACCTTGTCTTCTAGGCCAAGATATCAAGTCAGACGGCTTCAGCATCGAAACCTGCAAGATCATGGTTGACATGCTGGATGTATCCTTGCACGCGCTGCCGAGCACGCGGGCTGGGGGGCTTGGCGCTCCACCTGCAGAGGCACCGGCGCGCTGCCCTCCAGAAAGGCCAGTGGGGGCGTGGGGGTTGTAGGACTGTTGTCACCAGGGCACGTGTGTAGCTTCAGATGAGGGAAAGTGAACTGCCGCATTCCCCGGCTACCTCCACAGGCTCAGAGGCCAGGTCAGCCCGCGTTCCCGGCGCTGAGGCAGGAAATCCCGACAGGTCGCCCACCCTCCTCTGCCCGAAGCAGCTTGGATTTGTTTCCTGAGCTGACAGTGTGTCCACTACTTCTTCTAGGAAAACACAGTTGACCCTTGAACGAGGGGCACTGACCCCCACATAGTCAAAAATCCTCATATAACATTTCCCCCCTCCCCGAACTTTACTGATACCTGCCGTTGACCGGAAACCTCAAGATAACATGAGTAGTTGATGAACACATATTTTGCATTATATGCATTATACACTCTATTCTTACACTAAAGTAAGCTAGAGAAAAGAGAATGTTACTACGAAAATTGTCAGAGAAAATACATTTATAGTTTTGTATGTACTTATTGAAAAAAATCCACATGTAAGTGGACCCACATAGTTCAAATCCATGTTGTTCAAGGGTCCACTGATTTCTCTAAACTATGATACTGCATGAGGCTGTTTCCTCTGGCCACGGTGTTCTCGGTCTGTAGAGACGGGGCTCACCCCCGCAAGCATTCCCCTTCGCCTTTGTCCGAGCACCTTCCGAGGCCCCCCACCTGCCCCAGAGGCAGACTCAGCCTGCGCTTCCCCCCTTGTTCTGGATGCCACCGACGGGGGCTGGGCAGGGATGCCTAAGCCTCTGAGAAGTTCTGCCTGCTGGGCTCATGGCACCCACGGTGTCGCTCCCCTCTCAGAAGCCTGTTACGATCCCCGCAAGTATGAGCTCAGGAATTAGAGTTTGATCACACACTCTTTATTATTTGGCCAAGTTTTACCTGCGCAGGGGCCACCTTTCCCTCGAAAGGAAAAAGGCGCGCCGCTGTCAGGGTACACGGGTTTTTATAAGCAGAGCAAGCAAGCAGGATACAAGGGCGGGAAGTGGCAGTTAGCGATAGGCTACTTTAGGCAGCTTCTTTTCTACTGATTGGGTTCAAGGCTGTTACTGGGCCCCCCTACTCTGTGGTCAGGCTGTTTATCTGAGGCAAGGCTCAACCGTTGTCCTATCTTGTTACTAAGGGGGGGCTCTAATTCTTCCCTTCATCTTGGGGTATTGTTTGTTCTAGTTTGGGTCAACTTGTTCCCCTTAGTCTGCTCACATCGTGTTGTTCTTGTCCCATCTGCAAGTTGCAGCACCCTGAGGTTGTTTAGTCTTTCAGCTTAGTTCCTAGTTCCTGTTTCTTGTTTCGGCCTAGACTTGACCTAGTTTTAGAGTTTGGCCCCTTCAAAGCCCTCTTCGAAATATGGAGAAGATACTCCCCAAACTGGCAAGCCGCTAGAAGCCACCTGAGACTGTCTTTTTAGCACCCCCGGACCCATCAGCAAGCAGGGTCACAGGGAGCCAGCGGGGGTCTATGCGTCCCTTCCACCAACCCTTAGGGAAGGGTCCTTCTGCAAGAGCTCCTGTGGTTCCAGAATGTCCAGGGGCGAGAGCACACCAGTGCTGCTGGGCCTGCAGGTGCCCCGACTCCGGTAGATTTCCTTAACCGAGGGCAGTCCGACGGGAGCGGTAAGCTGGGCCTGAAGGAGTTCTACGTTCTTTGGACGAAGATTCAGAACTACCAAGTAAGAACCCAGGAGGGCCAGAGGGCAGGGGCGGGCGATCGCGGAGTGGCCGTGCCGCGCCTGGACCCGCAGGCGCGAGGTTGGGGAGCGTTCCTGAGGGGATGGGACTTGACCCGCCATGGAGCCCAGAGTGAGTGAATGAAGGGCCGAGCGAAGGCCCAGAGAACAAAACAAGGCCTGTGTGAGTTAAGCAGTCCACTCCTGCCTTCTCGGCACTGACCAAAATGCTGTCATCTTAAAGTCACCCATCAGAAGGCTATGTGGCCTCCTGTATTTTGGATTTTTAACAGCTCAAGTATAAAATTATCAAGAAAATCACGTGGGTCCATGGTAGTTGGCTAGTCGATTTGATGGGCAGACTTAGAAACCAGCTCACACAGAGAGGCAAAATACCATAGCTGTTGAAGGCAGAAACATGGTGACCCTTCCAAAGCCAAATCAGAGGCGCGGAGCTGGAAAAAGTCCATCCCCACTTGGCACATGCCATGGAGGTGACCTGCCGCTTGCCTTGGGTCGTCGTTCTCATAACTGTTTTGCATGTTCCAGAGAATTTACCGGGAAATCGACGTGGACAGGTCTGGTACCATGAACTCCTATGAGATGCGGAAAGCTTTAGAACAAGCAGGTAATGCTTTATAACCATGTGTTCTTTTGTCCCCTTTGTAGAGTATGTGAGACATACAATACAGTACAAAGTTTGCTGAGGAAATGCTGGTTTAGCACAAACACACCCTTTTCATACCTCCCTTAAAGACCAGTTGGTGAAACAGAATGCAGTCCAGGATGCTTTGCCCACTAATTCATCTTGAATCTAAATTTCCTTCTGAGCAGCAGGACAAGCAGGCAAAGCCTGTTCTCAACAGGCCCCCAGCTCCCCCTTTTGGGTACAGGGCTGGTGAGGCAGAAAAGGGACGTCTCCGCTCCACTCTTAGGGGAAGCGCCTGGTAGAATGTGATATCAATAAAAGGGACACAAGCTTGTGGGAGACCAGCAGAGTGGGAGACAGTGTGTTTTGGGGACAGATAGGACAACATGAGGTTGGTCACTGTATTAGCTGGGATATAGTGCTGTAGCGAGGACCCCAAATAACTGACTTCAACAAGATCCATCTTTTCCTCACTTAACAACCCATGCTCAAGAAGATCAAGGCCGGGACGGTTCCACCTGCTGGCAGGGACCCAGCTCTTCTGTCACGTTCTGTCACCAGCCCTTAGAATGTTGCCCTTATCCATGGGTCCCAGGATGGGTTCACTGAAGGGGGAGGGAAAGACAGGCCCCTTGCTTTTAAGGGCACACGTCACTCTGCACACATGTCCCACTGCCAGGACTTAGTCACGGGGCCACAGGTGGCTGCAAGGAACGCTGGGAAATGTGGCCTTGCCTCTAGGTAACCAAGACCCATTAAAAATTCTGTTACTATGGAAAAAGAGGGAAATAGTATTAGTATACCATGACCAGTTCCTGCCACACACCTCCAGGAAGACTCTAGTCTCCAAGGTGATTCAGAGCTAAACAAAGAGGAGAGGAAGTAGAGTTTACCACCTGAAGCAGCGTGACTGTGGAAATGGGGACAGACTGGAAAAGTCTTCTATCCTGGTCAGTAAGGAGCCCGGCATGGTGAAGGGGAACAGTTCAGAAACAACAGCGGGCCGCCCTGGCTTTGCAAAACCAGTCCAGCCTCATAGGAGAGCAGCCACGGGACAAAAGCAATTATACTTGTAATGCAAATTGCCACATCGGTTCCATCCCCCAGGACCGAGCTCCACAGTGCAGACTCAGCCTCAACGATCCATGTGCTTATTCGTTTAACTGCAGGTTTCAAGCTGCCCTGTCAGCTCCACCAAGTCATCGTTGCTCGCTTCGCAGACGACAACCTCATCATCGATTTCAATAATTTTGTTCGGTGTTTGGTTCGCCTGGAAACACTCTTCAGTAAGTGGCTGGTTGCGGGAGACCCATAGCAATTCTCTGGCTGTTAAGGCAGCCTGTCTTTTACGGGGGTGAAATCACCCGAACCAGAGACGCATCCGTCCAGCTCAGAATAGAAAGCCTTTGATTCGAGGAGGGGAGGGAGAAATGATCACTTGTGGCTCTCGATGCATCGGCTACCAGATAGGGGAACGGCACAATGGGAACTTGGCTGCAGCTCACTCACTCACGACAGCCTGCCTTTCCTCCTCCACAGGGGTATTTAAGCAGCTGGACCCCGAGAACACTGGAACCATAACGCTCGACCTTATCTCTGTAAGTGAGCAGCCTCCACCACCCACCTTGCGCCTGGCTTTACACACTGACATGGATCTGTGGCCTATCAACATGCTCTCTTAAAACTCCCCAGTCTTCTGGGAATAGGCCTATAAACGGTTCTAAGGTCCCACGGTGCATTTTTATTTGCAGTCTTTTCCCAGCTACCTATTGATGCTTGTGGCCAAAAAAACACACCTGGCCCCTCCCCCCTGGAGCTCTGGCAGGAGCATGAGCGCAGCACAGGGTTAAAATAAGAAGGGCGGCCACAGGATCCCTCTTAGCGTCATCCCTGCGCCTTAGGCAGCACGGAGGAAGGTGCTCATAGAAGGAAGCCCTTTGGATGAAATTCAAATGAGTTTGGGGAGGACCTGGCATTCTTAGAACAGGTCTACTTAAAATAGTTTATGAGGAAATCACTTTCCCCTCCTTCTTCCCCATTTCAAGTAAAACTAACAGTACAAAATAAGTTTGCTGTAGAGTATTATTGCGCTCATGGGTCTAGGACGCCAGCAATGCCCACTTGTGAAATGCTCCATCCAGGGGAAGTCGTAATACCAATTAAAAACAAAGCACAAAACTGTTTTCATGTCACCCCTATGACAGAAAGTTCTCGCACATCCAAGAAAGAAGCCAGCTAGGGTACGCTTTCGTCACCGTCGGGTCTCAGACTCAGTTTCCTCTGTACTCGGGGAACTGAGCTCGGCTACAAAGGGCTGGGTCAGGTGGCAGGCAGTGCTGGGGTGACAAAATCCCCGTGTCCCAGAGAGGAGCGAAGTGGTAAGAAGGCAACTCTTTTCCTTGAATTTTGAACTCCGGAGAAAACGAGCAACTAAATAGTTATTTTACTCTATTACGCATTTTAAGTACCGTCAGCCAACTGAAAACACACGAGCTGGTCACAAGTAACAGGGACTTGTTAAAACCGTGTGGCCTGGGAGCTGGCCCTCCCCTGAGATGGCCATCTCCAGTTAAGGCAATACAGTGGTCACATAACCGCGCCATCCGCTGAGCTCGGGAAGCTCTAGCCCCTTTGTCATTCTTGCTGGAAACCCTATTCCTCCGCAGTGCCCGCCGGCCCACCCACGCTGGCCGGCCAGCGCGGCCACCCACCCCGTTTCCGCGGAGAGCCGTCTTCGCCTCTGGCTCTGCCTCCGAGCCTGAGCCTCCCCTTGCAGAGTCCCCAGAGGTCCCCACACGAGTCTTTTCTAATGACAAGCAGCGAGAAAAGTCCCCCGCTCCGAGTTCAGGGATTTTCAGCCTGGCTGCAGGAGCCTGGCCTGGTTGACCGTGCCCAAGTCCTGCATCCAGGCCTGTCCCAAGGCAATTCAGTTGAAGCTGATTCAAAGCTCCCAGATCACTGCAGGGAAGAACCAAGGTTGAAAACCACTGGTTTAAGGGACATCCACCCGCCCCACCCCCCCAAACTAACCTCTGGTGTGACAAACTGGGAAAACGACGATCCAGATGTCATCTGGGTGTCACGTTTCAGGCCTCTCCATCAATCCCGTAACACTGTTCATGACCACCTGGTTCAAACAACAGCTTTTTACTCTCCTCTAAAAACCTAGACTCTAGAAATCAGGGAGAACGAGGGTGAGTTAGCGCACTGGGATCTGAAGCTTTGCTCAGCCTTTCGGAGACAACCATCTACAGGTGCTTCCATAACCTTTAATTTTAAAAATAGTCACTGAACTGAAGTGTTGTTTTCTTTTCCTTCCTCACAGTGGCTCTGCTTTTCAGTACTTTGAGGTCATAACCAACCTGCCTGAAGATTTCTCACAAAAGAAAATCAGCCACGGACTACGCTTCCACAGAGAAACTTTTTATCTGGACCTTGATTATGGGAACATTTACTTAAACTGATGATTATAGCTGAAAATAATGATACCATTTGAGATAGTAAAAGATTTGCATATTATTAGACTAAAAGCGAGTGAGTCGCTTAACCCTCGACAAGCTCAAAAGCTTTAAATCTGTAAATAGTATACACTTTTTACTTTTACACATGGTCCTGTTTAGAGCAATATTAAATGAGGAAAACAATGCAGGGAGGTATTTAACAGCCGAGCAAACATTCAGTCGATCTCAAAGGACCTTATGGCCTTTAAAAGCCAAGGTCAAGTTGAAAAACAGCTGTGACATTTACCAAACAGCAGCTCAGGGCTCACCGTTCCCCTGGAGTAAAATTGAAAACATCGTGGTCACGAAGCGACCTTGTCAAAGCATCCGGAGAAGCCGGGTAAGGATGCACACCTTGTCACCCAGGTTGAACGAGAGAGACAGGCTCTATAGAATTCTGATTGGCTGACGGTGGACCTTCAGAAATGCTGGTAGAAATACCGAAGGGCTTCTACTCTCGGTCCGTGGAGGCCGCACACAGGGACCAGGCGTCCAGTCTGCAGGCCAGCTGTGCGGAGGCGGACCAAGCCGTTAACTGCCTGCCCCGACCCTCCCCCAGCTTGGCCACCTGCAGCGTTTGTGCCTGGAGTCGGGGGGGACAGGCATAGTACCTGCAGAAACAACACAAGCTTGTTTCTTGGCTTTCCCTTGGGAACGTGTTAACATTATAAAAGTATTGCCTTGTTGCCTTATCTTCTGACAAATGTACTGTTAAATAAAGAGTCGCCTGGGCAGTCCCACGTGGCGCGCCGTCCTTGCTGGAGGGGCCCTTGCTGGGCACCCCCCTGCAGCCTGTTTCCCCTTGAACGAGGTGTGACACCTCCATATTCCCGCGTTGGGAGGAAAAGGCATCTGACCTATCATTTCGATGTGGAACTAAACGTTTTAAAAAATCCAATTCAGAAGCTCTCATAATGGGCTTTAAAGTAGGCCAGCTCTAACGTCTACTGCTTCTTGGTCTGTCTTAAGGAGACGCAGGCACTTTATCAGCTTTGCCTGCCACTTGACCTGCACTTTGGTTGGCTCCCACGGGTGTGGGAACCGGAGAGCCGAGGAGGCAGGCAGAGAGGTCACCGGTGCTGTCCGTGATCCTGGGGGAACCGCAAAAATGGCGAGGGTGTAAGATGGCTTGGAACAGGCAAATGTCAGCCTCTTATCTCCGGAAGAGATATAGGAAGGTGGGTTTCCCAAATTCAGCTCAAATGAGTTGAAGTTCTTCCGGTTTGTGCGTGGTTGTTTGCGGGCCCAGCGACAACCATGAATGTGAACGACTGAATATAAATGAGACCCTGAATACGAAGGTGCAGTCATCCCCGGGGGCACGGGATCCTCTCCAGTGGGCAGCTCAGTGTTGGGGTGGAGTCAGGTGTCCGGGTGACTAAGGACTGAAGGTGGGGAAGGGATGTGTGGCCGGGGACCCAGGGAGCGGAGGATCGTGACTAAAGTGATTGGAAAAACCAGACAAGACTGTAACAAAGAAGTATGCCCACATGTGAATAGCGGTCCCCCACATACGCACATAACCACTTCATAACCCTGTTTCAGTACTTTCAAAGATCTCTACAAGGATCTTTGAAATAAGGATACTCTGATAATAAAAAAAGTAAAAAGCCAAAACAGGAGACCCAAAACCAATGCTGTGCAAACTTCAGGAGTAAAGAAACAAAAGCGAGATGATCGCGTTCCCCTAACTCTCGCATCTCCCCTTTTCCTAATTTGCACAGGTCTTTAATTTACCGAGGACGTTCGCACAGGGTACCTCGCACGGTCCCCATCCGCTGCGTGCTGTGCAGAGGGGCCACGGCACTCAAGCCCGTTTCAGGTCAGGCAGATGCGGCTCAGTGGGACGAGTGTGCTGGGCAGCGCTGCGTGATGGGCCGGCACGTGCACCTGCCCCAGGCAGGAAGCGCATGCCATGTTCCCTGTTGCTGCCAAACACCTTAGTGCAGACCTAGAGGCCAGGACATGTCCTCTGTCTCAGTCCCGCTGGTGAGAGGTCCAACACGGGTGTCGTCGGGCCCACTCGCTCCTCACTGGAGACTCGAGGAGGAGGTCTGCGGGCCCACCGGGGTTGGCCGAGGCCCCCGATTTCTTGCTGGCTGTTGCCAGGGACTGTGGTTAGCGTCCCGGTTCAGTGGGTCATGAGCCCGCTCATCTTTCCAGCCGGCGATGGCAGGCGAGTCCCCCCACGCTGCAGGGGTCCCCGACTGCCGCTCTGCCGTCCTCTCCTGCTCTGGTGGGCTCGCGGGATGGCCGGGTCCCCCACCTAATGCCGGACACTCTCTCTGCTTTAAGGCCAGTGGATTAAACTTAATTAAATCTGAAAGGTCCCTCACCACAGCACTTTGTGTTGGATGGAATAACCAGGCATCTTAGCCAGCTCGGGCTGCTATAACAAAATACCACTGACATGGTGGCTTAAGCAGCATTTATTTCTCACCATTCTAGAGGCTGGAAGTCCGAGATCAAGGGGCCGGCAGGCTGGGCGTCTGGTGAGGACGCTCCCCTGGCGGCAGGTGGCAGCCTTCGTGGACCCTCACGGGGCGGGGGGCGGAGGCGTAGCTCTGACCCCGCCTCTTACATGGACACTGACCCCGTCACACCCCCGCCCCGCCCCGATCCATGCAGACCTACCTCCCCAAAGGCCCCACCCACCCCAAACACCAGGCACTGGGGTTAGGGCTTCACCATGAATTTCAGGGTGACACTAGCATTCAGTCTACAGCACCGGGGGAAAGGACTGTGTATGGGGGGGGCGTCTTTAGAATTCTGTCCACACTCACGTCTGCTGCCATTTTTAGTTCACGCTGTCACTGTTCCTCCATTCCTCTGAAAGACACGGTGTACTTTCATCTTCCTTTCTTGCTGAATTTAGCTTCCATTAAAACGTGTAAGGAAAAGCGACCATTGATTCTTTTCATTTGTATTTTCAATTACATAAAATAGTTCCACTAAGCAAAATGGGCTCCCAAACACGAACTTGGTAACATAATAAAAACAATGTGGAGACTTTGTGTATGTAAGTTTCCATCCCTTAAATCAATGTATGGAACCCTATAAAGAAACATAAAATAAAATGAGGACACAGTCTATTCTTATCTCCATGGTCTTTAAGATCTTCAAAAAAAAAAAAAAACCCAGAATTCTATATCAAAGACCATCACAAGACTCATGAATTGCAAAAATGAGCATATTCTACCAGCAAAGAAACACTTCTTACATTTAATCACATGTCTGGGAAAGAAATCTTATTTTCCAGGTGGGGAAGAGATCTCAGTGGCTTGTGAATCTTAAGCAAGGCCGTGCATGTGTGATATGGAAAACCGAAACCAGAAAAAAGCTTACAGTCAAAAAGTTTATTTTTATTACAATTGTTTTTAAAGTCGGCTATGATCTTGACAAATATTATGGGTAAGTCTATAACAAGTCTCTAATTTCCGAGATACAAAAGGCAATAAATATAGATTCAAATTCAGCCTAAAAACAAGATTCTAAACCTAATTATCTGTAGTGTAGCTTCGTTTCAATATTTCAAAATATGTGTAATTCTGAAAATGCTACAAGAACTCATACAATAAAGTTATTGCTCTCTGGCTACCAACCGACCGCCCTGCACGGACGGGCACAGTGTGCGGCACCTGGCGCCCTCGTGGTGGCCCGAGGGCCAGCTGCTGCTGGGGACAGTCAGGCTGGCGCCATGATGGCACTGGTCCCTTCCAGCAGGACGCGAAGCTGGCTTCCCAGTCGCCCAGTAAGCGGTCCTGCCTCTTGCGGAAAACAGGATGCTGCTGGGATCTCGCAGGGCCCCAGGCTTCGGTTCCGGCGCAGGAAGGCTGGCACCTGGGCCTCGCGGTGTCGTCTCTTAAATCTGAAATCTAAGGTCCCTCACGCCCCCCTCGCGGCACCGAATGTCCTCCACCACCAGGACTCCCTATCCTTCATTTCCTCCCAGAGAGCGGTCTTCATGGCTTCAAAGTACACGGTCGTTCCAATGAGTCTTGTGAAAGCCGTGCCCCAGAAAATCCTGTTACTTCTTCTCAGAGACAACAGAGATTAATTCTTCATTGACTACAATTCTATAAAGTGTCAGGCCAAGCTCCTTTGTCTTGGTTTAATTCTTGGATAGAGCTGTAAGAGAGTTTATAGAATATTTACATATGTACAAACACATGGGAGTATAACAAAATCAAGAACTATCAGGGAAGGGGTGATGAGCTAGGAAGACACTAAGCTGAGGAAAGGACTCCTCCTGCCACCGGAAGACCCCAGAGATGCCTGGGGACACAGAGACTCACTCATAGCAACTCTCTGGATCAGCTCTGCTGTGAGGACCTTCCAAAGTCACAGGTGCCTTAACAGTTGCAGTGATAGGAAAACCCATGATGCTCTAAGCGTGAGCGCAGCCTGCACAGCTGGTTGATCCAGTCTAACAGGGACCGCAAACCGCTACAGGTGACATGCAATACGCGGTGTGTTCCCGCATCTGAGGCTTCCGTTTCAAGGGAAATGGCAAGAGATGAACGTCTCTCTCAGCTTGGCCCATGGTGGCCGTGACACTGCGTCATGGACTCAAGGCTGTCAAAGTCCACAGACGGAAGGGTGAGTGGACTGCTTTGTCCTAGGGTTCTGTGGATTTGTGTTCTCCGTGAAAAGAGCTGCAGAGGAGCGTGCACATGAAGGTCACACGCTCCCCAGCCTGGAAGCCCAGAGCAGTCAAACTAGGTGCTCAACCGGCCCACTCAACAAAACGCCCTCCTCCGCCTCAGCCGCCTCCTCTCAGAAAGCCGAAGAAGGTTTAACCGACAGAAAGTAGTCAGACTTCCGCCAAAACGGAAAACCTTGATTGGGGGCCAACAGTATACAAAGGCTTATTTTTCTCTCTGGGAAAAGGAACTTAGGCAACATAGTGTTCTAAACTCATGTTTGAATTTCTGACTAAAAATTCAACATTTATGCATTTTTTAAATTTCAACCAAACCAACCAACCAACCAAGAAAATGTGGTGTAGAGGCCACGCCTATCCAGAAAAGATGCCCGAAGGTCTAAGAACATCTCAACACTGGACTGAAACCACAATCCTCGGCCCAGCCCATTGATCTCAGGACCTTTGAGCCACGCACACAGGAGGCGGACCTGAGCCGTTCCCAATTGGGAACGGACCGCCCCACACGTGTCCTTGCCCACAGGACGTCTTCGCTAGAGAACTAAAAAAGACCCAAATAAGCAACTGGTTCTCAGAGGGAGGGCTTTTGTCGTAAGAAACTGTAGCGGCGCTGATTCACTGACACCCGGCCCAGACGGACGTGGCGGCTCACGGACACTGAGTCTCTGAAGCCACAGAAGCAGCCGGGGAGCTTGGGAGGGAACCCCCTCTGCGCCTATGCTTCACCGGGTCCCTCGCCAGCCCCTGAAAGGGCTCTGTGGCCGGGTGCTTTGTCCCTTTCATCCTCCTCTGTAATCTACGTTACGTCCGCACTGAGTTTTGTGCTCATGAAGGCGGCAGAGGCGACAGATGAAGTCACTTGAGCTGCACACCAGACAAACAGCCCTGGAGAAGGGACAGTCAGGAGGACGAGACGCCGCCCATAGTCCGGATGGCCGGGCCGGGACGCGGGCCACCTGATTGGGCTCAGCGGCAGCACCTGGCCTGTGGCCCCGACGCCGGAGTAGAGCCCCCGTCCATCCCGCAGGCGATGGGAACACCGACAGACGTGCCTCCCCGTTGCCTGCCCCCGCCTGCCTTGTCCTCCCTCTCCGGAGCCGCCTGCCCACGCTGCCCTGGCCACCCAGGTCCCAGGGCCGCAGGGCCTGCACGCCGCACGTGGTGGGCGGCACCGGCCCTTCCCGCCTCGGACTCGCCTCACCCCCTCACCAACAGGTGTTGCAAGCGCTGGTCCCTCTGAACCTTCACCTCAGTCCCCCAGCTGGCCTTGTCACTTCTCGCCCTCTCTCCCCTCACCTGAGCTGCACCACCGTGTCAGGGAAGAGCGGAGCCTGGGAAAGAGCCTCCCGCGACCTCTAGGAAGATGTCGCTCGCTCCCCTGCCCCTGCCCTGTCGCCCGGCCTCTCCCCTCGCAGCCCTCGTCAGCAGCTTTGCCTGATCACAGCCCCCTCCGCGTGTCCTCTCCTGATACGACCTTACTATCTTCCTGGTTCTTAGGAAACTTAAAATCAAATAGTAGAGAAAGCACAAAGACTCCTGCTCGAGCTCACTACCAGATTTGCAAATCCCAATGTGAACAACTTTAAAATTTATTTCAAATGTCCTAAGCTCGGGGCCCGTCCCACGCGCCAGCTCCCTTTACCTTTACTCGTGAATGCGGACGGGAGCCCTGAGCACTAGGGGCTCGCACTCTTCTAAATGAACTGTTTTTGGTCATAACAGGAATCAGTGAAAGCGTGGCTTTTAGTCTAAATCTGAGACTACCAAAAATGTTAAATTCCACATCTCGCTCACACAGAGCCGCCAGTTACACTTGCGACCACAACACACAGAGGTTTCACAAAGCCCCCCAGACACACCTCGGGGCCTCCGCAGTGCGGCGGCGACTTACCCCCAGCAGGTTGCGGGGCACGTACCCCTCCTTCTCGTTCAGGCGCGCCCACCACCACTCCACTTCATCCTCGTCCTCCCGGCGGATGACGGTCATGCAGTCCCCTTCTTTCAGGGGCAGCTCGTCATCGTTCTGCGGCTCGTAGTCCCAGAGGGCGTAAATGACCCCTTTATTCATGATGCCCATCTTCTCCTGAACTCCTAAAACCAGGACAGTAGGAAGGGGGTCAGAACACGTAACCTGGAAGGCACCACCCTTCCGAACGCCCAGCTATACAAAGCCAGAGGGGGAAGTGGGTCCGTGCTGAACGTCAGCGCCCACGCCACGGCACATTCGAGGCGCAGAGTTCCTGGGCGGGGCGGCCGCAGGGCAGGAGCGGGGAGGCCAGCAGAGCAGAGGGAACACGCAGGACACAAGTCACCGAACGCTGAGGCTCTGACATAGCTCCGCGAACTAGCCAACACCTGAGCACCTCTCGAAACTACTCTGACTCAGAACACAAAACTCCTGCGAGCCCAGGAACAGAGAAAGGGCTGTTCGAGCCAAGACACTGAGCAAGTGAACAAGCTGCCTGTCAACTGTCAGCCCACTCTTAGTCTGATGACAAAGGACTTGGGGAGCATGGCCTCATTCTCTCCCTAACACTCAGAGCAGAGAGAGAGGAAAGAGCAGGAGGGTGTCTCTATTAAAGCGCTCTTTATCGATTTCCAAGTGGGGAAAAATAAAAGAAAAATATATAAACTATACTAGACTGCAGACTACGGCTAAGTATTTTAGACATGATTGGAAAAAAGGCTGCACATAGTCAACACGAAAATAATGAGAATCTGAATTATAAAATATAGCAAAATCCACAAATTTGGGAGGGAAAAAACCCACCAAAGTCCACTTTTCAGCAGAGTTAACATTACCCGCATGTCACCTTTCTCCAGGTGTCACTGCTCACAGGGACAATGGTCCTCAACAAGCAGGCGACGGGAGGGAAGCAGAGGGGAGGGAAGGGAAGGGAAGGGACTGGGCAAGAAGGTCCCAAGCAACGCAGAGATCGCTATTATTGTCACCTTTATGTTTTTAGAAAAGCCAGGAAAATATCTGCTTGCTTCTGAGTAGTCAGGTTTCTTCAACGTATGTGAATATGAAACTATTCACTGGGAACTTATTATTCTGATACCAATCAATATGCCACAGCACGCAGGGTATCTCTCTCTCTCTCTCTCTGCCAAGAAGGAAGTAAGAAACGAAAATGTTCCAGGAAAGGCTCTGCCAATCTGAAGGGTCAGATTTCTCCTAACGGGGACAAGTAAATTTCCAGCTTTCCGGTTCAAATAAGACATGCAAAGCATGACAGCAAGTCACGAGGACAAGGAGACTTGACATAACTATAATTCCACGAAGTTTTAAAGCTGGCCAGACCCACTCTCTGTTTGGGACTGGAACAGCGGAGAGGACAGGCGAGAGATTCTAGATACGTTAGCGTTCTCAGAATAACAACTTGCGTCTCACTTCCAAGAAATCATTAGGAATGGAAGAAAATTCCTTATTACTTTCCTATTTGCCAAACTAAGAGTTTACAAATTATGGCTTTAAAGAGAACATGCTCAATATCACTGGTAATTTTGGGACATGCAAACTAAAGCCACAATGAGATTCCATTCCAAATCCACCACGGAGCAGGCGGAGCAGGGAGCAGGGAGCAGGGGGAGCGTGGAGCGGGCGGGGAGGGGAGGGGAGGACTGAGCAGAAGTGAGCGAGTGTCACTGTGACCCTGAAACCCTGCTTCTACACAGACACCAAAGATAAGCACAAAATGGTCAAAGGACAGTGTTTACAACTGAATGAATAAACACACACAACCCGATGTCTGTCAAGAGCAGAATGGAAAGATACATCGAGGCACAGTGAAAAGAAACCACAGCTACACGCAACAGCCCAGATGAATCTCAAAGAACACTGAATGAAAAAAGCAAGCCACCTAATGACCACTAGGATTTACTTTATAAAAAGGTCAAAACACACAAAACCATACAACATTTTAGGTCATGTGCAGGTGATATAACTATTTTTAAAAAGGGATGAGAAACAAGAGAAAACTAAATTCAAGGTGGCAGCACTACAGGCACGGGGCCTACATCGGGCGGGGCACGCAGGTCCCGGCGGAGAGACTGACAGGGTTCTGCGCACTAAGCTGGGCACAGGACAGTCACTGGGGTCCACCGACTGTCATTATTCTTTAAACTGCATGTCTATGTCAGGCACACTCTGTGGCCTAGTTCACAAATTTTTAAAATCTCTGATCCGATGTCCATAAATCTTTTTAAAAATCATATTCCACACTAAAATAAAGCTCAGGGTGGCCATTACATTTAATATAACAAAATGTACATGAACATACCACAGTGATTCAAAAATAATGTTAATACATCAAAATTATTCTCTGATCCAGAGTTCCAAACATAAACAAAAATAATAAATGTCAACATTAAAAACTAACAGCCGAGAGAGGAAGGGAATGGGTGCACAGCCTCCTTCTGGCTCTCCCGTCTTTGCCTGGAGCCTGCAAACAGGCCCAGGGAGGCGGGCCCACAGTTAGTGACGGGCCTTCCGTCTGAGTGCTGGAGTGCTTATACCAAGGGCCTGGGACCTCCCCAGCCCTCTCTCTCCCTTCCCAATTCCTGTTATTATAAACTAAAAAGGAAAAGGAACCTCATCGTCTAAGACTTGCAAATGAAAAGCTTTTCTTTGTGAGTGATGCACCAACCAGCCTCTCTGACTACCAGTCCTTTTTCTCCAGGTGGGAGCTGGTGGTACAATCAGTGAGAATCATAAGCTCAAAATAGAGAAAATGAAAGAGCCAAAAACATAGCTCCCAAATGTGTGCTGCCTCGGTTTAACTGTATGACAAGTCTGATTCAGCAGGAAAACCTGGGTCAACTGGGTTCTTACACTGACCGCGTTTTCCTTGACCATCGTGGAAGAGGGGTTCTGTTTACTTACTCGCAAAGCTAAACCACCACTTGCTAAGCAGTGAGGTCTTAGGAGAGGATCTCCTGATGGTCAGAAGCCATGAACACCGCAAGATCAGACACTACCCCACTGTCTCTGGTGCCTGAAAAATCCCTGACAGCAGCCTGTTTCCAGGAACACACAAAAGCTGCATTAATGGCTGGGATCGGGGCGGCCTTATTTTCAATGCCCCGGCCTATGTACAACGTAGAAACATTTTTCCAAGGAATAAAAATACTTAGCAAATGTCAGCCTAGAGATGGAGGAGAACCAAGCGAGCGGCCGGCGCCCAGCCAGGCTGCCACGCACCGTAGAGGAACTGGGAGCACTGGGCGTAGCCCTCCTCCATCTCCTCGCACTTGTCTGCCGCCGTCTGCAGGTCGCTGTAGGTCGTGGCGAACACCGCGGCTCCCGACTCCACCAGGAACTTGCACACCTGGACATTGTTGCAGGAGGCGGCGCAGTGCAGCGGGGTCCTGTGGAGGGAGACACAGCAAGCTAGAAACGTTTCTGTCGGTCTGAGGCAACTGTTTAGCAGGAGCGGGTTGTTAATACCATTATGAAAGCTATTCTTCAGCATCTAAAATGTCCAAGTGTTTTACAATATATTATAAATAAACCCACATTAATATAAAATACATTTTAATCTATTTTAGGTAACTAGCTGGCGGGAACTCATTATTACCTTTACAGAGAATCTTTTCCAGCATCTCAAATGCTGTATTATGTATTATAAACAACCCCAGATTAATAATAAAGGTGTAAGTAGGGCTAGTACCGCTGCCCAAACTCAGAAGATGGGCCTGAGAATTTTAATCAGGTACTTTGGGGATTTTCAAGTTCATAAGATTTTGTTTCTTTACCCTTTTTTTCCCCTCTTCTCTTCATTTTATTCCCCTTGGGTACATAGCTTTTAAAAAAAAAGTGCTCCCTCCCTCAATTAGAACATAATAGTTTGACGGATATCACTGCAGACGTTTTTTAATTGCATGGCCTAACAGTGAAAAATTGCATGCAATCTGAGCTCCCAATATTAGGGAAACAAGGACATCACCACACATGAAGAGTTTGTTTTGTAGGTTAAATTAAAAAATTAGACTAAAATATTATGTATATGTACAAGCTTGAAGAAAGCATATTTAAATATTAACGGTGCCTACTACCACCCCTCTGGGGCACAGATGGCACACTTTCTTCTGCTTATTTCTCTATTCTGTACATTTCCCACAGCGGGCACACATTACTTTGATAAATATAACTTGTAAAAATTGTAACAAAAATGCTTCTCCAAGTATTTCTTATAACAAAAAACTGGAAAACAGTCTAAATGTCTACCAAAAGGGAGACAGTTACAACACATGAGCACACACATTTGTGGTAGAATATGAGGCTATTTTAAATTCATGTATATGAGTGTCTGACACATGTACATTTGGTATTAGAGCATAACTTTTCCATATTAACAGTAAAACAGGCTATAAAAAGAATACATTTCAGTAAATACAGTGTGATTACAAGTTTTTAAAAAATTCTACATAGAAAAATCTAAACTGTTTATATTCTTCCAAAAAAAGAGCATATTATAATTTAAAACTTTTTAAAAGAATAAAATACAAAACTTACTACTCATTCTACTACAGTTATTGGGGGTGACAGTAGCTTAGCAGGAGCTTTACTGTTGCTATTTAATAGTGACCCATTATCCAATGGACAAGAACATTCGCCACTAATAACTCCCATGCTTTCGACGCACGGAACCGTTCCACACAATGTTTCATGAAAAATGGATTCCACGGTGAAATGTAGCAGGGAAAGATTACAAAGTGTGACTTCTCCCCTCTGGGAGACACACACACACAATGAACATGACAATACTGAAGACTCAGAGAAACTTCAGGGCGTGGCCGGGGTGGAGGCAGAGCCTGCTTAAATCAGCGTTTCTCGAACCTGCCAAAGCGCTCGCATGAACTGTGTACCCCTTTGTGACCTTTCTCATTTTTATTATTTAAATCTAAACTTTTCAAACTCGATCTGCTTCCAGAATGGCGTGGACATACCAATTCCTCAGAGGGGTCCACCACGGTCCTCCCTCTAGTGACAGGCAGCGTGAGGACCCACGCGGACCCACTCCCCGCCAAGGCCCCATTCGCGGCAGCAACGCCCATTCGCGGCCTGCACCGCACACGCAGGTGCGAGTGGAGATGCAAGGAAATCTCACCAGCCGTCGCTGTCAGCCGCATTCACGTTCACACCGAACTGCACCAGGAACTTCACGATCTCCGTGTGCCCGGCACACACGGCGTTGTGCAGAGCTGTGATGCCTTCATCGTTGGGTAGGCTGGGGTCATCCACCTAGAACGCCAGTGGGAGAATGGTTGTCACTCAAGCTGCCTGACACCTGAATGTCACTATTTACTGGCCTTATAGGATCATGAAAACAGAAATAGACTTGCAGGTTTTAATTATGAGTTTAAAAAAATACTACAGGAGCCAAGAAAACTATGCCTCGAACAATTCTAGAAATAAGACAGACGAAATAGCCATATTAAGTAGGCACTCACTATAAAAAGGTTTTTTAAAAATTGAAGAAGAACCAGAAACTATATCCTTATAGCCAGTTTTGTTTATTTAGCCTCCAACTTCCCACCACAAATTAGTGTCTAACTAGAAGTGACATTTTCCATGGAAAGAAAAGAAGGTCAACTAAAAATATTTTAAATAATAGGCTTCTAAAAAGCAGGGACCACATGTATAATTTAACACTGTCTAGTGTAAATCCATGCCTGAGCAATGTTTATAGAAGAGCAACAGTCTCCCTGAGAAAGGAAAGTGCTCCAGGCCCCCTGTAGAACCAGACTTCTGCATTATCGAAAATGTCAGTCACGCCGTTAGAAGAGCAAAGCCAACTCTGGACCAAACTCCAGAGTTTCTCTCCACAATCCCACCTCCCCCAGAAGAAAAGTTAAAAATAGAGTTTCTCTATTGCAGCTTTCTGATAAGAGCTTTATAGCAAACCATCATACAAGGTCGTCTTTAAGAATCTGACTAAAGCAATCATACCTCATAAATAATCCTCTGCACAAGGTCAAATTCTCCCTCCAAAGATGAATCGAGAAGTAAGGCAAGAGGGTTGAATTTCACCCTCATTCCGTGGGCAATTCGCTCGGAGCCCGTTTTACGTAAGTTTGTCCTCTTGCCCTGCGGAAGAAATGCACGAAAAGTTAAGGGCCCTGGTCTAAGCAAGCGACCAGCACCAGCAGGGGAGGAGTAACGTCTCAGCTGAGCGGGTAAATATGCTTCAAAAGTACACATTTAGCTTTATTTACTGAAGTGTACATCATTCAGAAAAGTATATGAATAATAGCTTAGGGAATATACCCATATGACGAAGTGGAAAGAAGCTAACTTTTTGAAAGCTAGCGAAATACACTTGGTCATCCATTGCAGCCTGAGCCGGGCTAAGAGGATAATCTCTAAGGGCAGGTGGGTGGGCTGGTTTTCTGTAAAACTCAGAATTACAACAGCTAACATTTACTGACATATTATTCCTGTCTTCCCCATGAAAACGTTATTATCCTATTTTACAGATAAGGAAACGAGGGTGCACAGCAAGAACACAGCAGAGCTGGAATTCAAATTCAAGTGGTCTGCCTTCTCTGAGGCCCTCACCTTAACCCTATCATAACTCAACGCCTCTTTGCAGGGAAAGCATATAATTAAGGTAAATAACAAAGATTATTAGTCACACACACACACACACACACACACACACACACACACACACACACACAGCCTGCCCCCCGCCCCCGCAGGAGGAATCCTACCAGCCTTAAAATGCTGTCACTATTTTGTATTAAAAACTTAACTATAAGACACATGAGTAAATTTGTCAAGTCTTTCTATATTTTAATGTCAGGTATTGTTTTTAATGTAAAAAAACAAGGCTTTAAAAAAACAAGGCAAAGCTGTTAAGACTAGATCTAACAACCAATAACACAGGTTTCTTAAACACATCCAACAAAGGGGAAGCGCTCCCTAAGATGTGGTAGGCTCCGCGCACGTCTGTTCAGTGGCGATCAGTCTACTTCACAAATGTGCAATGGCTAAAATACTGTGTCTTGGAAAAAAGAAGTGTAAACACGACAGCACAGCTCAGGAGGACAGCGGGCACAGGCGAAGGGGCTTCCAGTTAAACTAAAAAGGACAAGGTGAATCATCTTCCTAGGAAGAGAATAGGAGAATACTGAAAAGAAATAAGACCTTTTTATAAGCTCAGGTTTCCTTTCTTCTCTTTACAATTACGAACTATTTTGACACAACAGCAAAAAGAGAGGGGAAATTAAAGTCGATGCTGAAAACTTTTTGCCTCCTGTTTACCACTCTGATGGAGGGAATCAAGCCTCACGACTTAGAAGGCAGTCAGTTGTCTAAAAAAGTGTTAACCTCCATTTTAAAACCTTTTGTCCTCGAATCCAATGTTCATTATATAAAACTTTTAAACCAATGTTTGCTGTAATCGGTAGCAAAATTTAGTAATTCTGGATAATTATTATCTTTGAATACTATTGTGTCTAAAAGTGTATGTAGTGAGGAATGAAACATACAAAGTCCTTTTTCAAAAATCCTTACAATATGCTATTTTGCTTTTGCCCAGGTGTTAAAAGTTCAGTTTGGCCTCCCACTGAAACAAAATGACTTCAAATTACACTCTGACAAAGCCGACTTTATTTCCAGACAATCTGGGATTTTTATCTTCTCTCATCTGTTTCCAAGGGACATGATTAACTTCCCAAACAAAAGCTTATCTTTGGAAAGAGTGTGGAAGACATGCCCACTTCAAAACATACAAATAACTGGGAAACCGTAGGCATGATCATGCTACCCAGCGATTTTCACACTGTGTTAAAGGTAAAAAGGAGGTTACACAGGTGTCCACCCTACCGGGCGCCCACTTCATCCAGAACCCTCCCGACTTCATCGGCGTTGGCGGTTTGCATTAAATATCAGTTACACTGCTAGAAACAGCAGAGTCTGAAATGGGGACATCGCCAACCTGCCTGATTTCAGAGCTCAAGCAGCGACCAGAGGTTTCAGACCCAGGTCTTCTCACTCCTCAAGTGCTGCTTCCCGAACACGTGGCATCAGCTAGAGAAGAGCAGCGTATTTACAGGTATAAGAACAAAACTCTGCTTCCTTCACAAAAAAGGGGGTTCTTCTGAAAAAACAAAACTGTACTTCTTACAGAGCATACTGAATTTTGAAATTTATAACAAGATCCACCCTGTGCCACAGGAATTGTAAAATAAAAAGGCAAATTGCAGGGCAGTGCACTAGAGCGGGCAATGGAAACGCAACCTGTCTGCTGCAAATGGCTGTAAGGACTTGCTGGTGTTTCACTGGGTCCTGACAACCACCCACCCGGCAGAGGGACAGGGCTCCCGAACGGGTCCCGAAATACCACGTTACTTACCGGGGGCAGGGCCACCTGCCCGGTGATTTCAGGCGGGCGCATGCTCCCGGAGTCCTCCCCGGGCCCCTCCGGCTCCCCCGATGGGTAGGGCGGCGGAGGGTAAGGGGGGTACTCCTCCAGGTACACTTCGAGCAGATGGGGAGCCTCTGCATTTGGTTCCTCCACGGTGTCCTGGAAATCTGGGCTGGGGTCTGGGACTCCTTCAGGCACATAGTCAAGGCCCGGAGGAGGAGCTGGCAGGTCACTGCTCTCTGTACTGGCGTCCCCGGCTTCCTGTGGGCACACTGCTTCAGGAACCAGAGACACCACCTCCTTCTCTGGCTCTGCATGTAGATACGGGTTCTGGATTTCGGTTGGGCTGTCGGGGCCAGCAGTCACCGAGGCCGACTTGGACGGGTACGACGATGGCACAGAGATGGTCTCCATGGCCGCTAGGGTGGTCCTCTGATACAGCAGCTTCTGAATGTTCGGCCCGTTCGGGCCCTCGGGCTCCGTGATGGAGCTCCGTTTTTTTAGGGGCCTCGGTGCATTAGACAGTTTCTTTCGCAGAGCTTCCAAGTCGGCATCGCTCTGGTTTCGGTACGGGTTCGACAGGAAAGGCAGTAACTTGGTGGGGCTGAGCGGCCGAGGAATCCTTTCGCTCTCGTGGCTCTCCTGTGCCGGAGACGCCGGCTCCGCATCAGGCTCCGGGCCGCCGGGCTTGCCCGGGCCCCGGGGGTAAACATTCTCCGGGTGCTGCTGCTGGTTCTGGGCGGCAGCGATGACAGGCTTGCCGTAGACTGAGTGCAAGTGGAAAAAAGCGCTGATTAATGTTGACTAAACAAAAGTGACAAGTAACAGACACAGCTAACAATGATTAAAGCCTCTCTTTAATTTCTGCGTTACTACATAATACCCTTCACTACAACTAATTTTTTAAAATAATAAACGACGAGGCAAGGCTTCCATCTTTGCCCAACAAACTTATTACAGAATCAAAACCCTCACTGATTGTGAAATGCACCATTGTTTTACGTGTCAGTAAGAAAGAAAATGTTGCCAATTATAACTGTAAGAAATCACTGACTGCAGCATCCAAATGTAACATCGCAAAATGTAAAAGAAATTGAGAATCCATGAAAATTGGTAAATCCTTTCCTATGCCCAGGTTAAAACTGAACACATACTAACCCATCTTTCATAATTTTCAATAGTAAATCCATGCGAGAAATCAGATTTGGCTTATAAAATTATTAAGACCACTTATATGTACCCCAACTCTTTCCCTAACAATCTGATTATATCAAAATTATCTAATGCCCAAATTATATTAGCAGTTTTCACTGAGACTCATGAAGAGAATAAGATGTAGCATATGTTATTAATTCTTTGCTAATTGTGACATCTTAGGCCACAATGACATGCTTATTTCATGACTAGAAAGCCATTTTCTTTCCAATGAAACATGGCGAATTTTATTCTAGTCCTATAAACTGTTTGAATGACTTTTAGGAAGAACCCAACAAGTGACCAGATTACGTATGTTTCACAGAGTCATCTCTTTGGGTTTTTATATTTAACGAGTGATCATGTCCTCATTAGAACAACTTAAAATACAGTAGAGAGGGCTCTTACAAACAAACAAAAAAAGCTACCCGCACACCCCAAAGGGGCAGCTGCCCGATCACCCACGCGCCCAGGAACCGTCCAGCCGCTGGGCCCAGAGCCCCGGCACTGAGGTCCCCGTGGACGCCCGTTCCCCAGGCCCCGGAGGAGCTCCCGCTGCCAGGGGGGGGCGCGGCGGGGGAGGCACGCGCAGGAACGAGGACGCAGAGGGCTGCGTTTTCCTGTCCGTTACTCCTCTATGTTGTTCACCAGGTATTTTCCCAGCATTTCATTCCATCCACCTATTATCACTGGTGCCCACTGCAACGGCAGACGTTGAGCAGAAACCCCAAGTTTAAATTCCCAATTAAGACCAGAAGCCATAAGTAAACAAAACTTTTAGAACGAATCATCGGTCAACTAGGGACAAGTCATCTGGTTCCCTGACAGATGACAGCTCTGGTGTGGGACGTGCCTCATCTGTGCAGGGGGAAACAAGGCCCAGGAGCTTACCGCTCGAGAAGGGCGGCCCTCTGGGATGCGTCTTGGCCAACGCGCCGGGCACGGCCTGCGGGACGTTCTTTCCGGGAGCCTGGTGCTGGGTGTACATGGAGTATATGGAGCTGGCCGCCACGGTCTGGGGCTTCCGGAAGGGAGGAAGGAGGGCGTCTTTGGACGGCTGCGGTGTGAAGGGCCGGACGGCCGCGGCCGGTGGACTTTCTTGCTTAGAACCCGGAATGAGGGCTGGGTCTTGGCCGCCCAATGGCACGCCGGGGGCCAGCAGGACCCTCTGCGGCTGCCCTGCTGGTTTGGGTTTACTTCCCATGGACGTGACGGCCGATGACAACTGCTGAGGATTTCCATCGGGCCGAATGTCTGACGGGGACTGACTCGTTTGTCCAAAGTAAGGCAAATTAATCTGTTTGGGCTTCGATGGAACGGGAGGTGGGACTTTCACATTTTTATTTGCAGCCTGTAAGACATACCCACAAAAAGCTGGTAAAAGTACTGCATCACTGGGCACACAGCACGTTCCAGGGAACCTGATTCCACAAATCTCAGTCAACACTACAAATACGAGGTCTGCTTTTTTCGTTATTACATCTGTTGGTGTAACATGGTCTACAGGAGCATACAGGTCTCAAGTGTATATTCCTATGGTACTAGATGTGTATATTGCACTGCGTGCCCATCACCTAAACTACATTTTTGGATCATTCAAATTTAAGTCTCTGGACTGAATCACACTTAACAAGGGGCTTGAGTAAGACAATACAACTCCCACCCTGAACGACTTCCCCTCGTTACCCAGTCCCATCCAGGCGCCTCTCGGCGCCCGCGGGAAGCGTCTAACTGCCTTGACAGATTCACTGACGGCATCAATGCTCCCTGGAAGCGCAGGCAACCGAGGCGCCGGGGTTCAGAACACCTGACGCGGAGCACGCGGCCTCGACCTGGTTGTCAACGGTTGGGATCCTAACAGAACCACCGCCGCCAAATCATGCCACACAAACCCAGCTCCAAATTTTGAAAAAAACAGGGTAACTGAGCAGCACATAACTGCTGTTCTGCAATGCACTCGTCCTTCTGGAGATTTTAAGTGTGTCGGTCATTCCCCGATAGGGTGCGACGCCACAGACAGACGTAAGCAACAGGACGTAAAACAACAGGGCGTTGTTGTATTTTCTAACCTTCCAGATGTATTTCGCTTTTTTCCTGCTCTCCCTCACATCACACCTGGACTCCTCTCGTTCTAAAGCCGGATCTCCCTGAGTACCTGAGCATCCCGCAAGATGTCTTCACTACTCTGGTTTTTCCTCAGAGACCCAAAGGAGGGGGGCGCGGCAGACTGGTCCACTGTGTCAAACATCGAAAAGGGACGCACTTTCTTCTCCTTGTCCCTCAGCAGAACCTCCCCATCATCAGCTGGAGAAGACAGGGAAAAAAAAATCACATTGCCATTCAAACTGCTTATAAAACAATTTCTTATTCACACCTAAGTTCCTCTCTCTGCAGTCTCTTTGAAACCCGGTACCCACGAAATGCTTTCCTTTCAGTGAAGCTGATTAAGGAATAACCCGAGCACTACAGTGCTGGTCCTGCCTTAATTCCTGGCTAAAGAAAGGTGTTCGGGAAATAAATACCGTTCCCGGTTTTAACACACTCGAAAACGAACAATCCAAACAAGAATCCGTGGCCCCTTTTAGAGGGCCGAAACGGGAAGTGCGGGGGCAGCACAAGCGAACTCGCCTTGTTCTGGAGCACTCGCAGAGCTTTTCGGCGTAGCGGCAGAGGCCTGGCTCGGGAAAAGATCCGCATGTGGACTCCAATCAGGACCCAGAGAATGGATTTTAGAGCCTAAAATGCAGAAAAGCAACTGCAAATAAGCCGGCATTCCAAACAGATTTTTAAGGATTCCTTTTGCTGCTAAGAAATGGAATCTCTAAAATACAGCTTCAAATGTCAGACTCACAACCATCCCAGGAAACGTACTTAAAAAATAGTAGGTTTTATATTTCTCATTGAAGATTCTCCCCCTTCCTCGAGCAATTTAGAATTAATCGTGGCAGGCCAGACAGCCTGCCAACAAGGACACATCACTCTTTGTTGGGTAAGAAAATGTCCCCATTACACCCGGAAAACAATTTCTAATTGAGAAAACCAAGGGGCTCTGAGGTGCAAGTTATATAACGATGCTCCGCGCGTGCAGGCACCACGCAAAGGCGGAGACGCGGTTCTAACCCACGAGTCCAGCCGGTCTTGCCCGAATCAGTGTGCGCTGATATTTACGTCTCCGAGCTTTTACTTTTTCCTGACAGAAACCAAACAAAAGTGCCTCTACATTAAAACCCACTGGGCTGCACACTGCTTCACAGTGGTAATTATGACAAAATAACAGTTTTAAATAAAGTTAGTGAATTTTTGCCCATGACAGTGGTTAAGGAAAAGAGACAACACTGGCCGTTAGGTTTTTTCTTCCAGGGACTGGAAGACTGTCTTACCCTGCTTTTCCTTCCGGTCTCCCTTCACTGCTTCTCCTTGCACGGCCGCCCACACCCGACCGGGCTCCGGGGGACTACCCAGAACGCAACGATCGCTAACTCAGGAACCTCGTTATTCTCGTTGCATCTCCCAACACGTTCCCCTTTATGCCAAAAAGCCGTCAGCAGGCAAGTTCTCGAGCGTAAGCACGTCTGAATACACACATCATTTATCAACAGAGTGGGCTCACCACCCCACGTTCTGCAAAGACGATGCCACCAACCACTTACACGGTGTTTTTACAGAAGAAATGTTCTCAAGTTACTAACACCCTATCACAATTTCCTCATTCACAAGAAGGAATGCAAAACAATTTTCGGATTTTCAAAAATACTGCATTCTATTTCACTTCCTGTATTATTTAGGGTTAAATAACTTACTGCCCCAGCGAAGAATACAGGGAGGTTCTTAGAATTTAAACATGAACAGGGATAGGAAGGCCTTTTTTTAAAACTCAGACCCGGGGAAACACAACAGTGAAGACGAAAGCACCTAAGCTGCGGGCGGACTTGAACATGTGCCGTGTTTACCTTTGGCTTGGGAGGCGGCCGCGGACCTCATGTTCGGCAGCGTGTGGACTTTCATGGGCCCCTCCGCGGGCTGCATGGCCACGGGGCCGTCGGGCGGGGCCGGCTTCACCAGCAGCTCGGGCCGGGAGGGCAGCCGGGGCATGGTGGACGACTGGATGTAGGGCCCAACGGCAGCCACGCGGCTGGGCGCCAACACGCCTTGCGGGGGCAGATTCCCATCCGGTGACACCTTCGGAGAAAGCACAGGTCCTTTAGTGTGACCAGTCAGACGGGAGCAAACAGAAAAGTCCATGAAATTTTCAGAATGTTTTCGAGTCAGTTCTAGCCATAGAGTCTACAACGGACGTCCCAAACAGAAACACTGCGCAGCGGACCGTCCCCCATCCTTCACTACAAGGATTAGAAAGAAAACCGGAGCCACGCGGGCACATCCACACAAGCACGAGAACAGCGGACCATCCTCTGGGCAGCTCTGAGCGCTGCCTGCCTCTCTCCCTCTCTCCCCGCCCCCACCCCCCGGAGGGCGCCCTGAGCGCTGACCATGCAGCAGCTGCTATGACAACTGCCTGCGCTGGGCTGGTCATCTGCTCCCCCCGTCCCGGCCCACGGCGCAGCGGCCCACTCACTGGAAGGTTTTCTTTCTGCTGGAGCGCTGCCTTCTTCTTCCACAGCCGGTCCCTCAGCTCGTTCACACGCTTATCCATGACCGCCACCTCTGAATTGCGCTTGTTCAAACACTCCCTCTGTTGTTGCAGCTTGGCATTCTGCTCCTGATTCAGTTTGTTTCTCAGCTGAAGAAAATGGGGGAAAACAAAAAAAGGTAGCCAAGGAGGAATAAGAAAACTTTCTCCAGCAGAGTCACTGGGTCAACTGTTACATAATTTCTAAAAGTGTTCGCTCGGTCCCTCCGCCCCCCACACTTCCCGCCTCCGGGTTTACGGTTAGGGTCAGACCCCATTGTGGTTCTGAGGGACGCCTCAGGTTTCCTGTGGCAGGGACTATAAAGGTCATTCTGGATTCTCTGGGGCTCAGGGCTTCCTCCCCTCCAACCTCCTCAAGGAAAAGACAGGGAAACCCAGCACTCCCTGCCACTTGTAATGACAACTCTGCGGCCCTGAGGAAGGTTCCGTCGTGGCTCCCCGCAGCCCATGGGGTACCTGCAGCTCCTTGTATAGCCGATCGAGCTCAGCCACCGCCGACTGGTTGTCATGGTGACCGTCGATCCGGCCGTTCTTGAGCATCTCCAGCTGCCTGGTGAGCTCCTCTACTTTTGACATGGCTAGGATGAGCTCCCTCTGCTTCTGCTGGAACAAGCTATTCATCTGTTCAATTTCCTCCACTAGGAGGAGAAGGGAAAAAGGCAACAACCGTTGAAAAAAAAAAAAGTAAGAATGGACCACTTCCCAGGGCAACCAGGCTCCACAATGAACTTTGTAATGAAAAGTAGAGGAATTTTCCAGAAATGTCCTGGAGCCAACCTATTTCTTTTATAAGCAACTGCAATCAACAGAGACAGCTCAAAATATCTGTGCCTCATTCTGAATGTATTTTTAGCAGAATTTGATTTATGAATGTAATTAAACATTAAACTCCATTAATTTCTTTAGACTTTTTAATCTCAGTTTTATAGTGGTAGATGGAGCTATTAGATCACTAAAAGTTTAATTTAAAAGGCCGTATAATAAATGGAGCCAATATAGAACTAAAAATCCTTGCCTCATCTACTTTTCAGTCGAAAAATATTTAGAAGAAAAAACAAACTACTACTACTACATCTTCCAAAGGTAACTCAAGAACCTCACCTAAACATTCAACAGCTGAATTCAAATCAGGGGAACCAGTGAATTACACTTTCAAAAAATTCTTAATAATCATCCACATGCGAAGTCTCGTCTCTTCCTTCTTACCACAAGTTCACATGCACCTCCCGCCCCAGCGTGTGCTCGTCCACCAGAGTCTCAGGCGCTGCCCGACGCGCGCCGAGGGCACAACTCACCGAGCCTCCCGTTGCTCAGTCTCTTCTGCTCCACGTGGCCCCGAAGCGCCCTCACTTTCTTGAGCTTCGCTTCCTGATTCTCGGCAATTTCTTTTAGCCTCTTAAGCTTCTCCTGCTCGGCAGCCTGTTGCTGTTGACGCTGATCTTGCTGTTTCAGAAACTTCAAGCGCTGTTCCTAAAGATAAAAGCCACCAGCAGGCCATATCATTTTAGGCACGGATATCATTAACCCAAAAATAATCTACCGACAATGCCGACACGCCGAGGCCGAGGTGCACCAGCGCGCTGCTCTGTCCTAGACGCGGCCACCGGGGCCGCCTGGGAGGCTTGTTACACACAGGCACTGCTGGGCCTGACCCCAGAATCCTTTGGGGGAAGAGCCAGACAACAGTATTTCTAATCCAAGCAGCTCTTACACAGTAAGCAAACAGTGAGCCTTGACGGGGTTTTTGTGAGCGGGGACCATAATTTTTAAAAGGCGCTCATGCAGAGGGGGAGGCATCTAAGAAAGCTGTTAGATAATAAGCTTTGGAGTCAAATTTGGATCCAGACCCGAGCTCCGCCACTTTTCAGCTATGAGACTTGGGGCCACTTATTACTAAGCTCTGTTTCTTCACTTATAAAATGGATGATCAATGATCACTACCTCACAGGCCAGATGAGGATTAAATGAAAACCTCTTTGTACCTTATGTAGTTAATATACACTCAATAAATACACTTCGGTAAGGGCCAAAGCACACCTACCACCTTTAGAAAACTGCATTGTGCACTTGAAATTTCATTTCCATTCAATTAAAAGTGTTAAGTAAAACAGAGTAAAAGCTATACAATTTATAATAAAGAGTACATTTCTCAGATTAATATGCCTAAATCACAAATAACACAGAAATGGTTTCAAAATAAGATCCCAAGGCTAGAGATTTCTTCCATTAACCTTTTTATTTGAATTTATGTCTTTGCCACTCAAGGAATGATATGTGGCACCACCTAAGAACTTGTCAGAAACGCAGGGTTTCAGACTCCTACCCGCACCTACTGAACCAGAGCCTGCATTTTTAATAAGATGCCTGGGTGATTCATACGCGCATTGAAGTTTGAGAGCGGCAGTGTTTTGGGAAAGCCAGTGTCTGCCTGCGGAGGCGGCCCAGGAACCGTCCCGTGAGAGCGTGGCGCGTGTGAGGACCACGTCCAGAATCCGGCCGCTACTTCCAAGCCCCACTTGCCAGTCTGCTGTCACACCATCAGCCGTCCACCCCCTCTCCGGTGAGGTTACAGTCTCTAAAGGACGGGTCGGTCTCACACACTGAGAGTTTCGACCTGAGGCTGGCAAACGACAGCCCCCAGGCACAAGCCAGCTTGCTGTCTGCTTTTGTAAGGGCAGTCTTACTGGAACACAGCCACGCCCGCTCGCTATCCTGCTATGGCTGCTTTCTAGCTACAGCTGCGGAGTTGAGACCGCTCAACCCGTCAAGACCAAAATATTTACGCTACATTTTGTATCTCCAGAGAAAACCTGTGGGCACCTGGTCGGGGCTAGCAGCCCGTGGCTGGCTGGAGAGGTAGCAGCGAGGCTGGTTTTACTAGTCATGGGGAAGCTTCTTACAGCTCCCTTGACCAAGGCCAGGATTAGGGGAGTCTGTGGGTGGGGAATATCCCTGAACAAAGGCAAGCAGCCCGTCATCGAGAGAGCAGGGGACCTGTCGGCACGAGCAGACTGAAAGTTCCTCCTGCTGAAGCCACGATTCAGGACAAGCTCAGCCCGGAGTAGTTCCTACCAGCAGAGGGCAAGGGCCCTTGACGCCTTTCCTCGCTCACTGACGGCAGACACAGCCTGGGGATTTGATCAGAATTGGGGGTCAGGAAGGTTGAACGGTGGGGTGATTGAGGGGTTTCCACCAAATGCTCTCGTGCAGAGCAGAGAGAAGCGCAGAGCAGGGGCTCTCCGGGCTGCACGCCCGCACTCCGATCTGAAGGCAGCGGGCGTGGCGGCGAGGGCGCGCTGTGCGCAGCTCTGCACCCCGACGGCGGCGCCGCGAGGCCGCCTGGGCCAGACGGTACCTTCGTGGCCAGCATCTGCTGCTGCGCCTCGATCTGCTGCTGCTGGCGAGACGCCATCTCCTGAAGCTCAGCAAGAGTCAGGTCCATCCTGGGGCTGTTGACCTGCAGATGAAAGACCCAACAGTCCCCCTCAGAGGCCTGTTTACACCGTTCATAAGCTTCGCCTGAACCAATCACGTCGCCATCGTTTAGCCACTTCCGCACTATGGAAGGGACCATTAATTTTTATAGCAACACCCCCCACATTGTAAAACGCGCTAATATACAGACCAACTGTTATTTTAAGCGGTAAATTTAAAATTAAACAGTTTCAAAAGTCAGTGACCTAAACGGGACAATTTAGAAATACCTTGCTCTGGAGTTAATTTACACCAGAAAAGCAGTGTTTGGTCATATTGAACAGGACTGTCGGGCATGGCAGCCAACCTGAAATACGGTCACCAGGACAGCCCTTATAAAACCTGATACTAGCATCTAAAAATTCAAGATACGCTGGGCCGTCAGGGGGGAAAAGCAAGATGTACACTCTCAAAACATCTATTCATAGCAGCTCCATATGGAATAGCTGCAACTGGAAACAACCCAATGCCTCTCAGCAAGTGAATTCATAAATAACTGTGGTATATCCAGACAGGGAACTACTGCTCAGCCACAAAAAGGAATTAACTACTGATATACACAGCAAAATGGGTGAATTGAAAAATAATTATGCTGAGCAAATTCAGACAAAAAGACTACACACTAGGTGACTCCATTTACAGAACAGTCTAGGAAATTCAACTAATTTGTAGTGACAGAACGTGGACCTTCTGGTGGCCCCCTGAAGGTGAGGAGGGAGGTCAGACGGGAAGGACACAAGGAAACTTTGGGGCGTGGAGGGTATTTTCGCTGTCTTGGTTTTGGTGACGGTGTCAGCAGGGTGTGCGGTATGTCAAAACTTCTCAAATTGTGCCCTTGACACATGTGTAGTTCATTGTATGTTGATTATACATCAATAAAGCTGTTTTTAAAAAATACCCAGTGGAGGGGAAAGCTGTACTGTGTGAAGATGCACGCAGATCCTGTTCATGACTAAGACTGCCTTGTCCTCCTCGCATCCGCCCTTTATCACCTCCCCCGGGGAAAGGCAGAGTAGGAGCAAATGCTAGTTTAGATAACCTGGTTCTGACGTGAGTTCACCACAGGCTGGAGAAAAGTAGTTTAGCAAATCCCCAACAGTATGAAAAATTCTGAGCTCCAGAAACAGAACATGTCAAGGAACCCCAAAGATACTTGCTAACATTCACATGCAATTGCAAAAGCATTAATATATAATCTTCCATTTTTCTAGAAGCATTACAGTAACAAATAAAGTCACTCCAGAACAAATACTTCCTCACATAGGCTCTACATTTGTTTTCTTCTGAATTTACGGTATATTTAGCAGCTAATGTCTTCCGATTGTCGGCACTGCAGAGGTTATCAGAATTAATTGTGTCTATGAAAGAAATATAAAATAGCCTTTAAAAAAAGGGCCATCCTTAATAACCCGCGGAATCACAGAGCACCAGTGGGCGAGAGGACCGGCTAGAAGGACGATGGCCCGGCAGCACGGCCCGCGCTGGGCGCAGCAGAGCGGTCACTTACGCCGTTCTCCTTCCTCCGGTGGTCGGCAGGAGCTTTTACGCCGCTCCTTTTCAAAGCTGGATCCTGGGACCTTGGTCCGCTCACTAAACACAAAGTTCAAAAACTGTGCATTAAACCAGAGTTGACAGATACGCCCAATGCCAGTTTATTTCTTAGTTCTGTAATTACTGCCTTTGAAATTTTAAGTGGAAAGTAGACTTAAAACAAATTATTTTCTAATAACAGCAGCAATCAGGTCTCATAATTCAGCCTGTTCTGGAAAATCTTACTTGGAGTAGTGAACAGTGAGCTACAGAAAATACCACATACTAACTATTCCCTAGGAAATGATTCAGAGACCAGAGAAAGGAAAATTAACAAAATAAATGTACTTCTGATTATGGGTCATTCACACCATTTGCTTCTGGTACCTCCTCCTAGTTCTACATTTAGCTGCTCGGTAGTGAAATCAGGAACAGTTTCATCAGAGGAATTAAGTGAAAATGAAATCCATCCACCCTGTGCTCATTAACAGTGTTTTGTAACTTAAACGGGAAGGAAGCAATTGACAATACAACAAGCAGGATTTCAAATATGTGTCCTATCGAGGACGTTTTGTGGGAACTCGTAAGTACTGTGAAGTACTTCCCCATTTACTTTAGTAAAAAAACTTCCATTTTCTTAGTTTGGGAACATACTAACTGGAAAACCCTGTATTCTGCTTTTTATGGCTAAACATAATTTTTCAAGCCAAGATATATGAGCCTCTCAGTATCACTTAATGCATCATAAGGGAAAAAGAGTCTTAATTTAAACTGGCACATCGTAAGACACAAACAATATCAACAAAGATAATTTTTAAAATACATGAAATTAAGCTTTTATTTGTACTTTCAGAAATTAGAAAAATTATAAAATTCTCTCAAGAAATTTTAGGTTAAAATTTCTTTGGAATCAAATGTCTGCTGTACCTGTCTAGAAACTTAGCCTAAATTCCCACACCAATAAATACAATACCCTCAGAGCCAGGTACCACACTTATACCAACTCTATAATGTGTTCGCTTTATTTTGAAAATACTGCTCAATCCTCTGACGAAATAGCTCCAGTGACCTGTCACGCGGTTTCTGCAAGAAAAACACATCTACCATTTAGGGATAACCGCCTTCTTTGCTGCCCCAGAGCGGCACTCAACCTCTTCTTCTTGGCATGTCCAGTCACACAATCACACAATCAGAGCAAAAGGCAAGGGCTCTGAAAACAGTTCCATACACACGCTGGGGTCAGGTCCCAGTGAGACTGGAAAAAGAAGGCTGCGACAGTCTCCCGCCCCGCAGTCCGGAAGCCTCCGCTGAAATGGTGAACACCGCTGCCTGACGGGGCTCGGGCAAGCGGCCTGTTTCACCCTAGTTCGAACACTATGTGGCGCTGGTGCTCTGTGACCGTGTGAACAGTTTCTTTATCTTCTGATTATATTTCTCACGTTACAGACACACTGAAACGGCACATTGCGCTATTGAGAGCCTATTAATAATTTACCCAGGACTATGCGGGAGGACATCTGAACTGGTAGGTAAACGGGTAAGATTCAACCCATTTATTAGAAGAGGATGCATGCAGCAACGTAGACAAAGAACAAAATTACAATGAGATGCAGATGCCCAATTAAAACCACACACGAAGAAGGCTTAGGGAGATCTGCGCTCATTTAAGTGAAGACCACAAGCACCCGTCGAATGGAAAGGCGGCTCTGCCGGGGGGCTCAAATTCCACCCACGGAGCTGCCTCCAGGCGCGCGCGGCCTCTGACAAGTCACTTAACCCCAGAGTCTCAGCAGTTCTCATCTGCCGAGTGGAAGGGGCCGGGCAAGTCAAGTCTGGGGTTCCCAACAGTCTAAATCTAGTAATTCCTAATTGTTGGGTACCACATGGACATTTGTACGAACGTGATAAAATTGAGATTGTATGACATCCAGTAACTAACATCTGTTACCTACATTCTTACTCCCAAGTATTATGTATGGAAGTCACTGACCCTCAACTTTCCACTTCAAAAGTTCTGACATTCTTAGAAATACTAGTAATCCACTCCAACCGGTGGCTTCCCGCTGAGAACAGAGCTTCCCATGGACCCCAGGATGGAAACTGCTTATTCTCCCGCATGCTACGAGGCCTCCAGGGCCTGGGGTGGCTGTGTCCTGCACGTCTACTGATGCTTTCAGCCCGCTCGCTCTCCGCTGTCACATGCTGTCATTTACAAACTGACAGCCGGCCCGCCGTGCTCTCTCTGCTCGAGTCCCGCCCTCGTGCTGGGTGACTCTCCCTCCCCTGAGCCACGCTCCCAGCTCTGCGGCTCCCTCGTCCCCGTCCCCCCCGCCCCCCCCCCGCCCCCCGCCGCTTCAGGCTGGTCTCATGGCCGCCCCGTAGCCTCCCCTTCTGACAGTCTCCATTCAGGCCTTCTACTCTCTGACCACAGTTTCCTCTCACCACACCCCTTCATTAATCTGAGATTGTCACCTCTGGACCCGATTGGCCCTTTCCCCTCAGGCCCTCCTGTCTTTACTCCTTCCCCACCAGCTTAGAACTCATCTCGCCCAAACCCTCTTCGCCTGCCCTGCTGACCTTGCACCGAACTGTCCTGGCATAACCCCAGCACTGGCTCCACTCCACCCCCTTTCCCCTACGGCCCTCCAGGCTGGAGGGCCGTCACCATGGTCCCATGGTCCCCATGCTCTCAGGAGGTCAGCGGGCCTCCGCAGCGGCCAGCAATTGGCTCCCCGCGGGCTCCCCTATTCCTCCCGACAGCTCAGACCGCCAAGCACGCCCATCGTCACTTCAGAGAGAACACGTTTCCCTATGAGAAGTTCCTCAACTTGTCCCAAAGATTCACCCATTGACCAGCATCTGCAAGAGTTTTCTCTCTGCCAGGTTACCATGGAAGAGGTTCCGTCCTCCACCGACGAGAACCGCTCCGGCCAGGGCTGCGGGACTCGCCCGCCAGAACCCCTCGCCTGCATGTACTGTGACCTCCTCCTCCGCACAAGGAAAACTCTCATAAACCTTCTCCCATCTTCACACAAAACAAAACAAGCGGGACCATCCCCTTGTCTCCGCCTGCTCCGGACAGTCAGGCCTTAGCAGAGTGGTCGGTCCCTCCTCGCTGTGCCCGCTGACCCCTCACTCACCCCTCCGACTACCTGGTTCCATTCCAGTGCCCGTCACGAAGTTCAAACCTGCGTTATGACCCGCAGGAGGCTACCTACCCATGTCCCTGCCGGGGGCGTGTTCGTGACGAAGGAAGAAACGCACTTCATTCCTCTGACTTCCAAATCTTTGCAGAACATCAAACATCCGCTCATTATCTGCAACTGGACGTTCTGGAACAAAGACAGACGTGTGGTGTTATCTATCACTCACGCAAATTATGCCCTGGGAATGTAGAAAACACGTGCAGGTCACGGGTGTTCACTCAGAAAGGAGCCCTCAGAAACGGAGATACCGCAGTTCCCCGCGCGCACGCCAGGCCCATGGCCAGGCAGAGACGGGAAGAGGACCGGGGCTGCGCCGGGCGCAGGAGCTCAGCCTGCCTAACCCCACGGCTCCTCGCCGGCCAGCGGCCTGCCACGCAGCCCCGGGGGCCACAGGCGCCCATCACCCGTCACATGAGACGGTGGCCGAGGTCCCTGCAAACTCTAATGGTTCTAGGATTCTCTAAATGCATAAACCAAAAATTTTAAAAACAACTTTCCAAATAGCCTAGTCTGAAGACTGTTTTTTAAATTATAATTTTAAATACTATGTTTAAAAAAATTAGATGTATCTATCTCCAAACAACAGGCTACTTACTGCACTGGAAATACATCCATCTGGCCCTCCGGTGAAACTGCCAGGTGCCAGGACTTGTCTACAGACTAAAAGAAGGGCTCAGCTACACACCCGAATGGGGGGAACTTCAGGAGAAACAATATATCTTGGGCTCCCATCAAAAAATCTCCCAGTCTCAAGGGACCTGGATATAAAAACCAAACACACTGCTTGAGGATGCAACCAGTTAAAATAAAAAAAAACCCCACAAAACTCCAGTAATGTCAGTCAGTATCACTTTTAATATGAGATGTCTGAAAGAGCCCAAGAAAACTCAACGCACTTAGAGTCAGCAATCAAAGACACTACCTAAGCACTGTAAATAAACAACGTGGCAGAAAACGGAGCGGCCAAGCATTCGGCAGCCAATTCTATGAGCTAAGCCTGAACTTAATCGTCCTGGCTGCAACAAAGTGCAACTCTGGTTCTATTCACAGGAACACAACAGACTGAGCTGACACAGACGCCCCTCTTCTGTAAAGCACAGAAATTCTAACCAAGACCCTCCCGAAAGGGAACACTCATAGATGAGTAGACATCCCCAAAAGACATTGAGTAGACCCTCCACCTCCTCACCAAACACACACACACACACACACACACACACACACTCTTTATTTAAAAAGAAATAAAATCCCCACATTCCAGAAGCAAAGAGAGAACTCAAAGTGAAGCAACTTTCAGTCCCTGCTGGGTTGGACCGTCTTAAAAGGGCATGGACCTTCTCGTATGGTCTAGGAGCTAAGGCCCCGATAGCCTATGATGACAGGAGGCATGGCCTGCACAGGCCACACGCGGAAATACTCTCCAAAGGTTCTCAGGGGCCTCCACTCACACCCCCACTCCAACCTCGCCTCTCCCCACCACGGGGCCGGTGCCTCCGTGACTCTGAACGTGCCCTTCCTCGCACGGACGCTCGCCCCCAGCACCCTGTGCGCCTCCTGCAGACGGAGCGTGTCCGTCCGTTACTGCGGTCGCCACGTCGCCTTCTAAAGGTCTGCCAAAACTTGCCTCGCCTTGGAGGCGGCAAACGTTCATCTCCGCGTGCCTCCCGATGGAGCAGGTTCCAAGTTCATCACAGGAATCCAAGAAACGTCCCCTACACAAACAGCTGAGTGGGCCGTGAGGGGACAGGGATGGCAAGTAAAAGCTACTCGTTGTAAAGATTGTCCATTAAAATAAGAAACTTGAGAAGCTAGTAAAATCAAAGTTACATATTTACTGTCTTTTTAATGGGGGCTTTGGACAATTTATAGCAAAACGGGGGTGGGGGGAACACTAAAACGTTAAGCGCTATCACGTCCTGAGAGCTAATACCAAACGTGCCACGGCCGACGCTCAGCCCGCTGCAGGCTGCACCCCCGGAACCTTCGCACACGCCTGTGAGACAGGTTCGTCATTGCCCCGGTTCTGCAGACAGCGCACTGGAGGATTACGCGGATGAAGGACCTGGCCTTCGACTGCAAAGCCAGTACATGACAGAGACAGAATCTTGATACCCAAGACCTCGCTCTTAACCACACATACCACACAGACTTAACCCTCAAATTAATTACGAATTCACTGCAATCAATCAAAACTCCCAACAGAATTGTTCACAGGGCCTTTCAAGGAAATTCTAAAATATATCTGAAAGAGAAAGCATAGCTCAGGTATTTTTTTTTTTTTTGAAACAGCAGAAGAATGAAATAAACACGTGCCTTAAGATTATAAAACTACAAAACCCAGCACATTATAATACCCAACATATTATAAAACTAGAGTAATTAAAACTGGTTCTGTCCTAAACAAGAATTAAAAAATAAGAGAGGCTGTTACAGAAACATCCCTTTGTAGGAGACAGAACACAGCACACGGGCAATGTGGCATATCAGTGAGGAGAAAACAACCGCTCTGCGAGGCACCTTAAGGAGGTTCCCTCTCCACTGGGGAAGGAGGTTAAATCTCTAACTCACCCGACACAAAAACTGAGGAGGAGGACAAAGGATGGGAGGGGAAGGGAAGGAAGGAAAAGATCTTAAAACTCTTATCATGAAATAACAGAAGACTATGTTTACAGTCTTGGAGTAAGGAAAGAATTTTCCCACAAATAGGATAATCTGGTGTGAGGTCCACAATAGGATTTTTTTGTTTGTTTGTTTGTTTGTTTGGGTTTTTTAATGCCTACAAATCAAGAGAGAAAAGGCAAAAGCCAAAGAAATCCTGAAAAAGGGCTAAGGAGAAACAATTTTTTTAAATGGAAGCCCAAAGGGCTAATAAATAAATTTAAAAATGGTCAGTATCAGCCTAGCAAAAATTAATATATCATTGTATCAACTGTTGATGAGGAATACTTTTAGAAATAACTGGTAGACTTTTATATAACTTACATAGGCCGCTATAACTTATATAGCCTTTGTTGAGGGAAATCTGGCAATACAGTGAATTTTAAAATGCATGACCTTTTAACCAAGCAATTCCACTTCTGGTTATCTACCCTAGAGAAATGTTTGCAGCATTTATAAAAACAAGAGCAGAATTAATTTAAATGTTTATGAATAAAGGAACTGTTAGATCAACCACAGTTTATGCATACCATGAAAAATTATGTCATTAAAAATAATAATGTAAATTTACACATCTTAAAAGACCTCCAAGCTATGTTGTGAGGTAAAACAGGAAACTGCAGGATATTAACATGTATGACACTATTTAACACCCCATACTGTTTCTGTAGTAACACACGAATGCAGAAAAAAGTCTGAAAAGTTATCTGCTAAAATTATAAGCAATTACATCACGTGATCGGGGGTGGGTTTGGGGAGAGACTTCCATACTATCTATACCATATCCTCTTTTACAAAAAGAACAAATTCGGATGGTGTTTGTCTGTTTTGTTTTAATGTAAAAAGTGAGAAGGAAGAAACCCGTCATCGTCATCCCGCACTCCAGGTCGGTGACCTCCGGGGACGCTAGAGAGGGACGGAGGCGGCGGCCCCAGGGCCCCAGGGTCCGGGAAGAGCGCGAGCCTTGGCAGCAGGAAAGAGGACACCGAGGACACCGAGGGGCGTTTCCGTCACCTGCCGCATGTAAAGCGCGGCACTTCGGTGAACGCGAGGGGGCACTCACTTATTCGGTCCGTGACTTCTGACCGAGCTCCTACTACGCGCACGTGGGGACTCTCCCGAGCTGGGGGCAGCCATGACCAGGCGCGCAAGGCCTCTGCTCTTAGGGAGGTGACACTCCAGTGCGCGCGTCTGGGGCACGGGGATCAACGAGGCAATGAAGAAGCGAGCGCACACCCAGAGCGACACGTCTGTGCAGAGGGTGAAATCAGGACGACCCAACAGAGCGCTTCGCGGACACTTCCGCAGGGGCTCAGGAGAGGCCTGTCTGAGGGGGTGACATTTTCACTGAGATCCCAGTGACTGGAAAGACCGGCAATGACCAAATCCAGAGGGAAGCAAGACAGGTCACGCGGCCCGTGAGTGCCGAGGGGCGGACAGGGGCTGAGTGAAGGTCGCTCCGGAATACAAAAAGGTGCAGGAGGGGCAAGGAGGAAACTGGTCCCCGGTGACAAGGACAACCACCCTCTAAGCACAACCTACGGCCAAGTGTTCGGGTGTTATTGTCCGTAGCAGACAACGCCACGACAGAGTGTCAACAGGAAAGTCAAGCTCCGGGATTTTCATTTAAAAAGCATCACTTGGGTTTCTTTACGCCAACGGTCGACTCTAGCTCCTACACGAAGGCTAAAGGAAAAAGCAATGCAGGGACACGAAGACCTTCCAGCACGCCCCACGGCGGGAAAGCCCGCCCAAGGGGAAGCAGATGGGGCGGCTGGGGAGGACTGAGCACTCAGCCCGCGGCAGGCCCGGCTCTGAGACCGGTGTGAACCCGGCGCGCGGCCGTGGCCGCGCCCCCGGGGAGAAAGCGGAAGCAGCGGCGCCCGGCCGGGCTGCGCGGGGACCAGGCAGAACTTAGGAAGAGTCACTCCCACACCTACAAACCCCTAAGGGGCCAAAAAGAAACCAGGCTGCCCCATTTTAGAGCTCCAAAGAACTTCACTGAGGGATTGATTTCAAGGCTTAAAATAATGCCTATGATTTCACCACTGCCTTCTGCCACATAGTAACTCAACACTGAATAGCTTTCCCTAAAAACCCACAAAACCTTAGGGAGGGCAAAACAATCAGGAGGCCTCAAATTTCCAATTAGGCAAAACCTAAGCGTACAAAAAATACTTATGCGCGCCATACCGGAGCGGCCACCTGGTAGGTCAGCTGCCTGCCCTTTGACCTTTCTACTGCGGTGCCTTCATTGTACTGCAGAGAAAGAAAAGGGCAAAAAGGCTCCGTCTCAACAAAGCTGGCCCGAGAACACTGCCTCCCGACGGACATGCTGTTCTACAGGTCCGCTGCGGATAAACACGAGCATCGCCCTTGGCGACAGCCAACGCCGGCCATGACACGAGGCGCGCAATGGACGCGCCAGGCGGCCCGGCTCTCCTACCTGAGCCACACCACACTTCGGCCAAATGGCAGTCGCTCTCGCCAGGCTCCTTGCACAGGTCCACCACGTCTCTGCACGTCGTCTCTGGGGTGACCGGCACCTCTGTGAAGTGCTGGTCGTTGTCGCTGAGGTACACGGTGAGAAACATCTGGACACAAACAGAGAGAGAGCGCCACAGTGAGCAGGACGGTCCATGCCGGCTCTGCGTCACTTTTCGTTCACCTTCGGTTCCTCCCCCCAGCCAAGTGCCAATGGTCAGCGGAGCCACCTGGCTGACCCCGGGCCCCGGGGTCGGGGGAGCAGAGCCTGCAGGGCGCTGGAGTCCAATCAGACCAGCTCACGTGAAAGGTCAAGTGAAATCATTCTCTGCCATTTCGTCTATGCGATCTGCCCACCAAACACTTCTATCATTCTCAGTATGTGCCACACCTGCGCTGCACGCAGCTCTTCCTCTCGGTCCCGGGAAGGTGACCGGGATGTCCCACACACATATTCACGCGTGGCCTCTTTCTGGGAGGACACAGAAGGACATGATGTGTTGCTTCTGAGGGGAAGAGGGCAGCCTAGTCTGTATGCCATGGGCGCAAATCACCCATTCCAAAAATGCTGTTTTTAAACCTAAAATGTTTTAATCACGTTAAATACCTACTTTAAAGCATGTCCTCATCAACCAGGGGTAAGAGGAAATGATCCGCTTTTATGCTCCATATACGTATCTGACCTTGTAGACAAACATTCAGCCAGCAGAGGATGGAAGGGGGTCCAAGCCTCTGCTTCTTGCAACCAAAACTCAGTCCCCATAAACGTATGTAACAGAGAAGGTAACCCAGAAAACTAGAAAACATAGGCAGTAACGCATTACAACCAGAAGGTAATCCCGAAAAGTGAGACCAGTGGAGTCTGTTGAAACAATAAATGAAACAAATTTTAAAAATTAAAAAAAAAAAAAAAAAAAAAAACACTGTAGTTTCCCAGTAAGAGGTCAGACCTTCCCAGCTAATGATAGCAGCTTTGCACATTCTGATACAAAGTTCTAGGCTTCCACTTGGCCAGCCAGGCAAGGCTTCAAAATTGTTACACAAAAACTGCAAAGAACTGAAAAAACAAAACAAAGCAAAACGATTAACTCAACTTACATAATTCCACCTGCTGCTGCTCTGGCAAAATACACAGCCCATTTATTGAGGGAGATAAACAGTTTACAGTTCAGTACGAAATAGTACCTTCTCTCCTCTGTGTTCCCCACTCACACCAAAACTTTCTTTGAAGTTGAGCACTTCAAGAATAGTAACTGTTTTCACTGTAAATACGGGACGTAGAGGTGTTTATGAAATAGAGAAGTGTTTAATAAACAGTCTGCCTTCTAAACACGCTGCACCGACACACCAAGGCCATTATTACCTGAGGTAACAGCACCGTGCCCTGTCGACGTCACCCCTGAGCGCTCTCCCACATGCGGCCTCAGACGCCCATCAACGCCCAGGCAGGCAGAACAGGTATTATTTTCTCTTTATAAATAATAACAATGAAGGGCCCAGAAGTAATCTACTTGGCTACTAAAGGCGAGAGCGGGGTACAGTTCTGTTCTTCCGACCCACCGCTACCTTTATGCTGTCCCTTACAGCAGAACGTATTGCATTGGCCAAGAAGTACATTTGGTTTTTTTCCACACGATGGCTCTAGTAGCACTCAGTTGTCTTTAACTTCATTTGAAACAATTGTGTTAGGCGGTATTGTGACAGCTGTCATATCAGCGTGCATTTTTTAAAAAAACTTATCAAAATTGATGAATGTTTACACAGCCATTTTAATACTGAGGATGAAAGAAAATATGCAACATTTTCGGTATGTTGTGCTTTATTATTTCAAGAAAGATAAAATGCAACTGAAACAGAAGAAAAGATTTGCGCAGTGTATGGGGAAGCAGCTGTGACTGATCGAATGTGTCAAAAGGGGTTTGCAAAGTTTTGTGCTGGGGATTTCTCGCTGGGCAATGCTCCATGGCCAGGTAGACCAGTTCAAGTTGACAGGGATCAAATCGAGACATTAATTCAGACAGCAGACATACTCAAAATATCCAAATCCATAAAGTTTTTGCTGACAATGAAAACTGTGTTTTTTATTTCATGGAAGAAAAACCATACAAACTTTTTGGCCAATCCAATATTAGGAAACGCTCTATTTAATGACAGCAACCCAAACTTGAATAGAGATCTGGTCTTCGGCTTTCTGGAAAACAATAGCTTCATTTATTTAAAAGTATAATTACAAATACAAGTGGTGATGCAACATAAACCCAGACTTATCTTCTGGAGGGCGGGCCCCTTGTAGTACAGGTTTCCCCACTGGATGTGTGTTCGAGGGACCCACCTGCCTCAGTGAGTGCACAGCTGGCGTTGTTGCGAGAGGCTGCGTTCGGCTTCAGGGGATTTTTTTTTTTTTTTTTTGGAAGATCCTTTCAACACTTTTGCGCATCTCATGAGGGGCGATTTCCAATCACCCTTGCCCACAAAACACTGAGTGTTCGGTGGCTTTTCACCAAAACTGGCGTGACCCTCATGCCCCACCCTCCCTCGTCACTTGATCTCACCCCAAATGACTTTGTTTGTTTGTTTGTTTCCCTGGATGAAAAAAGTGCTCAAGGGGAGATGTTTTGCTGCCGTGGAAGAGATGAAACAACAAATGGCAGAAGCATTAAAAGGCATCAAAATCGACGAGTTCAAAAACTGTGTTGAGCAGTGGGGAAAAAAGTCTCCGTAGGTGTATTGCATCAAACAGAGAGTACTTGGAAGGTGACTGAAGTCTAAACACGTAAGAATACATAACTTTTTATCAATAAATTCCATTTTGGAGGGTGTCCCCCCTCGTAAGAATGATGAGTGCTGTGTTCTGTTTAAGATCACTATTCCCCAAAGAAACCACGGAATTAATACTGGAATGAACAGCAAGTGCATGAACTAACCCGGCTGCCACCCTTCCTGCATGATTAGCTCCCTGGTGACTTCAGTAATTGTACTGAAAGTCCTCGATGCCTGGGCCACACCTGGGCCGGCAACGTGACACCGTGACACGGGAGGGAGGCTTGGGTCCTAACCCCAGGTTTGTTAATAATTGGTTAGACTACCTTAGGGAAGTAAAGGCACCTCCCAGAATCTCAGCCTCCTCATCTTCAAAATAAGAGTCTTTAAATCCTGTAAGAGCTGCTGCTTGTTTCTGCTGTTTATTTGGTGTCAGAGTAAAAGCCACCGTCTTTACTAACAGCTTACAGGTTAGACAGCAGCAATTCAGGGTGAAGTGAGGGCCTGAGGGAAGGCAGAGATGAGCGCAGAGAAAAGGGGTAGACTGGCTGGGAAAGACAGGCTGCGGTGGCGGAGTGAGGGTGGGGCGAAGGGGAGTGCGAACTGCAGAGCCCAGCCATTAATGAGAAAGTAAAATCAGGAAGCAACCAGGCTGCTCCGTGGCGTGGGGGGGGGGGGGGGGGGCCCCACAGGGGAGGAGGGAGGGGCGGGTTGGGATCAGCGCCTGACCCTGCCCACCCTACCCCTTGGCCCGCTCCCTGCCCCACCCTGGGCTCCTACTAGAGCCCTGGGCTCTCCGTCCCTCCGTCCACCAGTGTCCTCCTTGCTGGCCCTCACATTCCAGGCACCAGCCCCTCTCCAAGCACCTGCTGCTCCTGTCTGCAGTGTCCCTCCCTGCAGGCCACCAGAGCTGGCCCCTCAGATGCCACCTTCTCAGTGAGGCCTTCCCAGGCCCCCCTTCCTGGAATCCTAAGACCACCCGCACACACTTCCTGCTCTGTGTCTCTGCTTGACACAGTCACTAACACATTATCTTTATTTAGTTACTGTGTTTATTTAACTTGTTTCTGTTACCTGCCTTCCCTCCTGGAACAGTCCAGGGTTCTACTTTGTATCCTCTGCACTATGAAGGTGCCTGGCACCTAACAAGCAAACAAGCAGCATTGATCACAAGTAGCCCATTCCCTGGCCATGGCCTCGCTCCGCAGGCTCACCTCCGGCTGCCTGGCACGCGAGCCCTCCCTCGCCTTCCTCAGGGCGTGGGGGGCACAGCACGGAGCCGCGCCAGGTCGTGGGGGGGATCCGGGCGCCCCCTCCTCGCTCCTTCGGACGCCCGTATCACGCTACAGCCACTCAGTATTCCCAGGCCACCTACTGTATGTACGAGCTACATTCTCACGTAGAACTCACACTCACTAAGCAGCTAAGAGAGCGCATAGCACAAAATTCAGGAGAGGCAGAGAGCCGGGCGCAGGGCCAGCCGGCGGGGAGGGAGCCGAGTCCTCATCGCCCAACCAGCTGGGCTCCCTCCCCCTCCTGTCCCTGACACTCCCCACCGGACAAGTGACCGGACAAGTGACCAGCAGCCAGGTGGCCTCTGGAGGGAGGGGCTTGCAGAAATCCGCCTCAGGGGCCCCCGCGCAGGTGGGGGAGAGGGAGAGGGGCCTGGAGGGCAGGCGAAAGCGCCTGGGGACAACAGCCCTCCCATCTGCACACCCACAGTCACGACTTCAACGCCCACGTGGTCGGAGAGGGCCCCTGAGCAAGGAACTCCACAGAATGGCCCACGCCCCGCGAAGGCCCCCAGCGGAGGAAACAGCCAACGGAAGGACCTGGAGGAAGGATGGAGCCGGGCACAGCGGTGGAGGAGGAAAGGGAAGGGTTACCAAGACAGAGTGAAAGAGGCCGGGTCATGCAAGGCTTTACAGGCCGCTCACAGAGAATGTGGCTTTTAATCTATGAGGTCACCGGAGGCAAGCCACTAGGTTAGTGCTTTCCAGGGGCTGGGGGTGCGACTTCTTTTTGGGGCGATGAAAATGTTCTGGAGCCAATGGCAACGGTTACTGTAAATGTACTGAAGAGCACCGAACTGTGCATACAGGTGAGCTTTACGGCGCACGACCTGTATCACAACGGAAAAGGCCCGTTACATGCTTACTTATGTGAGAGAGAGACACCTCTAAAGAAGGAGAAAACTTCCGGATAAAGGAGAGAACCATTCGGTGCTACACTGTGGGTGAAATGGGAAAAAAAACGAACGCAATCTGAGAGACTGAGGTTTCAGCAAAGGGCCATAAATGAAGGTCAAGCATAAAAAGTTATCTGTAGTAACCTTACTTCCAAGGTGCCA